CCACATACACTTTGAAGCCTCATATCTTGAAAACCGCTCGAGATATTGGTTTTAAACCTATTCTATCTTGGAAAGCATTCAATTCTGCTTGGAAATTGTTAATTTTAGTATAAAATTTGAGAAACATTCATTCAGCTGAGAGTGATTTTGTGTATACACATATATTCCTTTTGGTTTGAAAAATGCCCCTGCCACATACACTTTGAAGCCTCATATCTTGAAAACCGCTTGAGATATCGATTTCAAACCGGTTCTATCTTGAAAAGCATTCAATTCTGATTTGAAACTGTTAATTTTAGTATGAAATTTGAGAAACCTTTATTGAGTTAAGACTGATTTTGTGCATACACACGTATGCCTTTAGGTTTAAAAAATGCCCCTGCCACGTACACTTTGAAGCCTCACATTTCGAAAACCGCTTAGGATATCGGTTTCAAACCTGTTCTAACTTGAACATCATTCAATTCTGATTGGAAATTGTTAATTTTAGTATGAAATTTGAGGAATATTTATTGATCTAAGAGTGATTTTGTGTATATACACACGTATGCCTCTTGGTTTAAAAAAATTACCCTGCCACATACACTTTGAAGTATCATATCTCGAAAACCGCTCAAGAAATCGGTTTCAAACCTGTTTTTTTCTGAAGAGCATTCAATTCTGATTGGAAACTGTTAAGAAATATCCATTGAGCTTTTTCATATTATGATCGACAATATCAAACTCTTTTTTTTTTTAGTCTAGCGATACAAGACGATAAAAACCATAAGTCTTATTTTCTTGAAGATGAAGATGATTAAAAATTGAACTAACCAAGGTTACGGAACAGGACGATATAGATAGGTGCTGAGAAAGGATAAAAACGAGACTCTGGGTCTAAGAAAAGTAGGAATTAATAATAAAAAAATAAATAATTAAACCGTCTATGTTTAAACCGCATCTTGCTAGGATGAACGGTTTTCGAGTTGGGGCGGTTTAAAGTAACGAACGCCTAGGCTGTGACATCACACCGGCTTCGGAAGCACAGTTAAAATACGTGTAAAATTTTCCAAAAAAAAGTCAACGATTTCACTTAGATCGAACCACTCAAAGTATAGGGCACGGATCACTGACGATTAAACCAACAGGAGGCTGCAATTTTGGCGGTTAGCTGGTGTGACGTCCCAAGTTCCCGCATAATTTATTTTAATGAGGGATTATTTCGGAACCTATTTTGAATATAGGACTGCGGTTTTCACGACAGATCTTAGATTTTTTTTCTTTTGGGTCTCACCCTCTTTAAGATATAGAAACAACCAAACACCAAAAAAAATGAAGTCAATACAGAAATCAGATACATAAAACGTAAAAGGTTCACTTCCGAAATGGAACATAACAGAGCACAAGAGAAGATGTGAGAAATGCTAAAAAAAAGAATACTCGATATCATCGAAAATACACAAGCACAACAAATTGATGAGTTCCACTGGAAAGCCTATTTTGAACAACTGTACGCAGATACAGCAGGGACAAGAAATCCGCAGAAAACTAGACAAATAACCCTACTGAACTCAGTCATGAAACTCTTCACATAGATCTTAGAAGCAATAATTATCAACATGTAAACTCATCTGAGGAACAACAAGGGTTCAGAAGAAATCAATCAACTATAGATGTTATCTTCATAGATAGGCAAGTAGTAAAAGTAAGCAAAGCTATAGAATACGGAAAGCCCACATATGTCTTTTATGGGCCACACCAAAACGTTCGACAGGGTGAGATTAAGTGACGTAGTAGATTTTTTTGGAAAGAAACATGTGCCAAAATCTGTAATAGATATCATAGACAAGTAAATCACAATGACTGACAGAGGAAATACATAAAGTCACCAACGGGAATTTGACAAGGAGACTTTTTACGCCCACAACTCTTAAATCAAATAATGGATGAAATAATAGTTTTTTTAGTGAAGACGATCCCGCCCAAACGTATCCTGAATGCTAAGGCATGATCTATTCAGGTATTGACAGTTTCGTGTAGGTCATGCCTTAGCGTTTAGGATACGTTTGGAATCGTCTTCGCGAAAATAGTTAATAAACCATGTCAAGAATATAGAAGGAAGATATTCACTCAGAACGGGCGAAATCAAAATGATCTGTTTTGCTGATGACACTCTAATTATAGTAGATGCACTGGCATCTAATTGACTTGTACGTTCTAAAGATCGAAATAATGTATGCATTACGAGAGCTTTAACAAGTGAGTGCGGATGACTGCTGGTTTAACCATCGGCTGGTATGAGCCAGAATGAACTTGCGCATCCTACCAAAGCGTAGATGTCAAAAAAAGCAGTACCAAAGCTGTTAAAACGATCATATCAGGACAAAGTTCTCTAAGCCAGAGTACCTGGAAAGCATTGAGGAGCACTGGAAAATACTGAAGACCACCATAACATCTGCCTCGGAAGAAACGGTCGGCTACATACAAGAGAAACATCAATACTGGTTTGATGAGAACGACACGAAAATTCAAGATCTTATAGAAAGAAAAAGAAAAGTGCATAATGCATGGAAAAGCGGTCCCAGCTCAACTGTAAAAAAGAGGCAACATCAACCAGCAAGGAAAATCAGAATTTCAAAGGCAAACGCGAGCATTAAAGGACCAATGGCGGATAAGAAAAAGAAACGAAATGTAGCAACTAGTTGAATCCAACTGCACCAAGGCCTTCTTTCAGACTACTTATATGGTATACGGACCAACTACTCAATCCCTTACGATCCAAAGATGGCACAATACTGCTCAAAGACACTTCTTCCTATAATTCTCATTTTTCGTTGGAAGGAACCCTTAACTTAACACAGAATCACAAATTAATAATGAAATTTGCAACGAAAAAAAACCGAGTAAGGTTCCAAGATTAAAAGAGGTTGAAATGGCAAACCAGACAACTAAAGAACAATAAGTCAAATTTCTGACAAAACCTTACCAAGAGCCAAGGGTTATCAGTCGGTTTCAGAAAGAGTGTGATGAATGTGTCTTAAAATACGGCTCTTGACCCCTGGTTCCTTGCAAAAATCGCAAGTAGTGTGACCGAAGACTCCCAAAAGCGTCATCAAGCTGCCAATATAAATAGGCCTGTGAGCCTCCTAGATTCATTCAGTTCTGGTGTTTAGTGTTAACGTCTTTCTGCTGACTCTCTTTTCGAGACCTTAGGTATTGTTTCAATTTCAAGTATTTTAATTAATTCGTCATGATTGTTGCTTTCTGTCTATTATTTATTTTCTTCCCTGTGTAAAGAACAAAGCCGTTGGGTTAGCTTCGCAACTCAAATCTGTTTGCCCGTGACTTCTACCCACTAAGAATTATAACCTATTCTTTATTTTCTGTATCTTTTAATTCTTAATTACTCATGTAACTTGTACCGTCAAGGAACGCCCTATGCTGGACGCTCATTGATTCTACTCCCTATCATTCCAAATCTCCGTATGGATTTTCTTTCATTTCAGTATAGATTGTTAATAACTTACTTTTCTTTCATTTCCTTACCAAGATTTACCATTTGTTGAATAAACCATTGTTAGAGTTTAGTAAGAAAAATTGATTCTTTTATTTCCTTTGGAAAACCTCGAGCTAACATTCCAACTAACTGCGTACAGCTCAGGTAGCAAGAACCCGCACTGGAAGAGGCAATCTAATCATATTACCAAAAAGTATCCGTTCAAAGTTACTTAGATTTTCAACTGGTGGCACGCTACCACAGTACAAAAAGGCCTTTACCAGTGCTGAAACAAAGTCTCCCTTACCCAACCGTCACAATCAGGTGGCAATGGTAATAACTTGGGAGCAATCTGTCAGCGAAAGTAACCATTGACGCTGAAATCCAACATCTTTGAAGTGTGCTAGCGCGGTAATGGGCGACTTTTAGAGATATTCTTCAACGATCACGATATCAATGCAGTTATAATACCAACACTTACATATAACTTCGAAACATGGACCACCTACAGAAGACACATATAAAAAGCCTAGGAAAATTCTACCAGTGATGTCTAAGAACGATCCTACGGATTAAATGGCAAGACCGATGAACGAAAATTAGTGTTTTAGAGGAGGCCAAAACACTTAACATGAAAGCCCTTGGCATTAGGCACCAACTTCGCTGGATAGTAAAGATGTTTTTAAGGAAAATATGGTGAAGTACTACATCGATACCAGCAACTAACTGGGAGATGACGGCAAATGGCGTCGAGTAGTCAAACAGCGACGCAGACATAAGAGCGATTAGAAGGATTGTAGGAAGGAACGAGAGAACAGAGGAAGAGATAATGCTGCCAGAGGCTGTGTACCAGAAAAATCAATGACAACGAGAATAGAATAGAAGATAATGATACTTGGTATCGAGTGATCGCCTATGATGAATGTATACACCTGATGGTGAAGAGTTAGTGGTAGCACTAAAAAATCCCTTCAAATTCCTTCCTTCTATTGAAGAATTATTTTCTGAAGTATTAGACTTAGATTATTTTTTGGAAAAAATTATTGATGCTCAAAAGTCCGATTTTATTTGTCAAAAATTAAATTATTTTCTATTACGAAATGGCACGTTATCTATTGAAATGATTCCCTACTTTCTATATCGAAGTGATTTTACTGTATAGCTAAAGGCTTATTTTAATGGGTACGCGAATAGTTATCCCTTCATGTTTACAGGCAGAAGTTTTGAAATATTTATATATTATGAACACCAAGGCATTGTCAAGTGCCGAGAACGAGCGAAAATGTCTGCGTTTGGTGGATTAGTTTATCAAAACAAATCGAACAGACATGTTCTAAGTGTGTGCAAATACGTATACATTTTTAAAGAACTATTTCTAAGGGCTTTCAATCCAACTAGACCTTCGCAAATTGTAGCTCTAGGATCTCTTTAAACATTAAAAAGAATGATATTTAATTATTACTAATTATTATATAAAGTATGAAAAATAATTACCTATTCTTACGAATAACGAATAAGTACCAACCTGATATTTGATGTGCCGCCACTTCCTTCCGATCAAATTCGAAGCCGAGTTTGAGTGTTTCTTGTGAATCTCTCGGCTCGGCGAACTGGCTTGCGAGTTCTTGTCGCTCTCCTCCGAAAACGCTCTGGTTATCAAAATCCTCGGCGATCTATAATACATTTCAACAATTTGAACATTCGAAATTGCAAACACAAGTTACCTTTTAGGACTGTCGTCGGAATCGTCGTCCTTCTTCGCCTTATTGTCCGGTTCGAACTTGAATATTTTCTGAAGAAACGCGCCCGGACTGTACGGTTTTGTCGGCGACTCGTAAATCGTCTCCCTAGTAGCGTCACTCGACACGTGAATCTCTTCGTCTGCGCCGACGCAACACTCGGCCGGCACTCGTAACGTGTTACAACTGATCGTTTGTTTGATTTGTTTCGGCTCCATCTCGTCTTTCGGCGACAAATTAAGACTAGTAGCTATAAAAAATATAATCATTATAGACTCATGTTATTGGCAACTATGTGTAACAAAGTTACTATTTTTTTTCCGTTACCCGCCACTGACATGCCGCATCCGAATTGATTTTCGGATCCTATTAGAGATACTATCGCCGCTACTGAATAACCGCTTTGCTTTTACGTCGGGAGTACCACCACGTCACCCGACGCCGTTCCGTGACGACGTCACCAAAGTTGGGAGAAGTACTCAACGAAGAGATGTGTAACGAAGTTACTTTTTTTTCTTTCTTTCCGCTACCCGCCACTGACATATCATATCCGAATCGATTTTCGAATCCTATTAGAGATACTATCGCCGCTACTGAATAACGGCCCTGCTTTTACGCCAGGAGTACCACCACGCCACCCGACGCCGTTCCGTGACGACGCCAGCAAAATGGGGAGAAGTATTCAACAAGGAGAAGAGAAAAATTTGGTGGTACTAGATCGCCGACCTCCGAAATACCCGGAAGAGAACCGCGCAGATTGTGATTTTTTTTTATATAATGTCATATTTGTCAAAAAAATAAAACATAAGTTATGCCACTATTCAGTTATTGTTGGAACAGCCTGTATAAAATGATATTTAAAATATGGACAATTCTTACCTGAAGATGGTCTCCACATAAATTCAGACGTGATTCTCTTGATTTTACTTTTATAAGAAGGATTCCTCAGCGATTTATTTACATCGATCAGGGTTTCCGACATTCGTCTGGATACGGTAGCGTTTTTCGTAAAAAGACCGAACGGTGTTAAAGACGGCCTCCTGGAGCCGCAAGTGCTCGGCGTCCTGGCCTGGATTTCGTGATGAACTTCGTTTTTCGTTTGCTTTTTCCGCCAATAGTTCATAAACGCTTTTCTGATGCCTTTGTTTTTTAGACCGTACAGATAACCTATAAAATAAATATGATATATTTGGCTATTGTTATTATGCAATTTCTTACCATTAACAGCCGGCGAACAAATCAGCAAAGTGCCAGCGGCCATGTACAAATAATGAATACCGTTTCTGACTTCTGTAGCACGTAGCACTGTGTGCTCGACGGCCTCGTACAAAATGAGTACGTAGTAGGGCACGCAAACGACCAGAAACGAACCAACCAAAAGGAAAACGGCCAGAATTGGGTTGGAGCCGCGTATCTTGGGCCCGCCAGCCGACGGCGCCGTCACTGTCGGCACAAAAAACGGATTGCGCTGATGCGTGATGGTCACTTGCGCAGAAAGGGCTACTTCGAAAATGGCCGACGCTATGCGATGCCGATGGTATCTGGCTATGATTAGAATCTGAAAACAAATTAGACATTTTATCACAAATAGCACTCTACTACTATATTATACTTGTTTGCCTAAGACCTATCCGGTAATATCACTAAAACGATCTAAGGACACACAATGGAGAAACCTGTATTGTTGTTCACTTGAAAACCTGAAACCCTTTTTTATTTGTAATGAATGACACACTTTTATAATGCGAAAGTAACAACTACTACAATATTTCCCACCTCGAAACATCAACAATATGAGACTTAACATTTTGGAGGAGAAATATAATTTTCTTCCATTTCAATGGGACATATACGTTGGATAGATCGAACTAATTATCCAGAAGCGGTCTTCAATTCCACAAAAACATGTTATTCAAACCTTGTCGCCGGTTTTCAAGTATAAATAACCTGATAAGTCAATACTAGTAACTTCAAAAATTGCTGATTCCCGAACTCTATCATCTGCAAGAGGAATTATGGAACTGAATCTAAAGTTTTCGCATTATATCGTATACAGATTGGACAATGCCTAATGACTAATTTAATGGTCCGTCTGCATTTAATTATCCAAAATCTTTCTCGTAATGTATATGTACTCATCAAACATTAGTCCTCCGTGCGAATTTCTTAGATGTTCACTTCTTTATGATGAGGCGATTAACTACATCATGTTGGCTTGGAAGAACATATGGAAATCTGAAATTCACTTCATCTTTTCTGTCATTTGAATCCTTATAATACTATCATCATCTATGAAAGGACATAATGTTGAAAGCTTCAAATCATTAACAGATTGTGGAAAACCTCCATCTTGTCGTTCAAACGTAGCTGGAGCATTACACAATCCGAAAGGCATTACGTTAAACTAATATAACCCGCTTCCGGTACTGAAGGCAATTTTCTCTTTGTCATCTGCGTGTATTGCCACTTGCCAGTATCCACTTTTAAGATCCAAGGTGGAAAACCATTTGGAGCCCGACAGAGTTGTTAATGTATCGTCTATTATCAGAAGAGGGAAACTTCTTGGTGACGTAATTAAGCTTACAGTAGTCTACACAAAATCTTAGGCTTCCATCTTTCTCTTACAACACATTTTTCAGCAGAATCGAATTCCGACCATACCAGGTCAGTTTTATTATAGATATTCTTTTGCAGTTATTGGGGAATCTTCTTATCCGCATTTATAATATTTTGAACAATTAGAATAATACCAAATAACCTTTTCTTTATTTGTATCATTGAGTGAAATTCTGAGAGTTTTTTTTTCTTTCTAGACTGACATCTTCTTCATTAAATCCATAATTTGGTACAGTTCGTTCTTCAAACGGTTTTCTTAGCCATGAAGAACCTTCCCACCAACTTCCATTGGCTAACTTTTGTCCCCACACCAAAGATGTTGTTAGATTATGTTATGTTATTCAAGATAATCTCATTTAAATAATCGACATTCATTTTCATGAAAAGACACAACACACAAAGAAACGAAAAAACCTTGAGCTTGAAAGGAGAAAAACGAAAACCACGTCAAGTTTTAAGGTTAGAAACCTTTGCGGGAACTCTATATTTTTCTTGGAAGAGAGGAGGGGAACTTCAAGAATATGACATGAACCATTTTGAGGTGAATCATGCACACTTCCCGAGCAAGTTCTCCCAGAAATTCAAAAATACCTACCTATGGATCTCATCCAGCCATCTAAGAAAATCGTTTCTTATTTCACCGTTTATCTCTGTATCCCAAGCTGACTTTTGTACCAAGTTTTCTGGAGTAATATTTTTAGATACAATGTAGTTGAAATACTAAAACCAATGATATCAAAAAGCTTTTGAGCTGAAGACAAAATTACCCGTTTCATAATCTTTTTTAAGTTGAGATGTCTAAACCATTCTAAGGAAATTTGTAGGGTATCTTGACATTTGTTCCACAAAAGACCCAAAACTGGTACTAAAGGTTTAATTTTCATGAGAGAGTATTCTCCCACCCTCTATCCATGTTGTCTTCCTTCAAATATCTAACACTTTCATGAATAAATGGCTTTAAATCATCTTCTGTATCTAAACTTGCAATAATATTGTCTTCGAGTAGTTTTGAAATGACTGATGTGGAATAGGGTAATTCTTCATCTTCAGATTTTTTCGAATGATATCACCGTTTCCAACAAAAATAGACTGTTGGAGTAACGTGCAGTCCATACAACTCTAGCAAGCCGAAAATACTGTATTGTACTTCACCTTCTTCATCATACCAAATAAATTTTAAGAAAATTCCAATCTGTAGAAAGATATAAAATCGTGTTAAGCAATTTGGGGTGATTTATCAATTTTTCAATTTTTCTGAGTGCCTTTTTTCATAGATTTCGGCTTCAAATCTGGGAATAACTTGGTGTATGGAATTCGGGGGATATCAAATGACCATTAGAACATAAAATCTTAACAAAAAAAATTTGAAATTTCATCGTTTTAGTAAGTAACCTTATGATTTAGATTTTGGAAAACTTTGAAAGGTCATAACTTTTTTTCTATTATAGATAGAAAGCTGAAATTTTCTGTGATTCTTATTCCAGTAGAGGACTTCAATTCCTGAAAATTTCAACTCATTTGGACTTATGGTTCCTGAGATAAAATCGTGTTAAGCAATTTGGGGTGATTTATCAATTTTTCAATTTTTCTGAGTGCCTTTTTTCATAGATTTCGGCTTCAAATTTGTGAATAATTTAGTATATGAAGTTCGGGGGATATCAAATGACCATTAGGACACAAAATCTCAACAAAAAAAAAATTGAAATTTCATCGTTTTAGTAAGAAGGCAGCTACCTTATGATTTAGATTTTGGAAAACTTTGAAAAGTCATAACTTTTTTTCTATTATAGATAGAAAGCTGAAATTTTCTGTGATTCTTATTCCAGTAGAGGACTTCAATTCCTGAAAATTTCAACTCATTTGGACTTATGGTTCCTGAGATAAAATCGTGTTAAGCAATTTGGGGTGATTTATCAATTTTTCAATTTTTCTGAGTGCCTTTTTTCATAGATTTCGGATTCAAATTTGTGAATAATTTAGTATATGAAGTTAGGGGGATATCAAATGACCATTAGGACACAAAATCTCAACAAAAAAAAAATTGAAATTTCATCGTTTTAGTAAGAAGGCAGATACCTTATGATTTAGATTTTGGAAAACTTTGAAAAGTCATAACTTTTTTTCTATTATAGATAGAAAGCTGAAATTTTCAGCGATTCTTACTCCAGTAGAGTACTTCAATCCCTGAAAATTTCAACTGATTTGGACTTATAGTTCTTGAGATAAAATCGTGTTAAGCAATTTGGGGTGATTTATCAATTTTTCAATTTTTCTGAGTGCCTTTTTTCATAGATTTCGGCTTCAAATCTAGAAATAACTTGGTGTATGGAATTCGGGGGATATTAAATGACCATTAGAACACAAAATCTCAACAAAAAAAAAATTGAAATTTCATCGTTTTAGTAAGAAGGTATCTTACTTTATGATTTAGATGTTGGAAAATTTTGAAAAGTCATAACTTTTTTTAAAATGACCATTAAAATACAAAATCTCTGAGCAATTGTTTCTGACAGGCTGCAAACTGTCGCTGAATGGGCTGCAAGATTACGTAACCTGGTGTCGAAATGTGAATTCAAAGGGGTCGGCGCCGCCGCAGCGAAGTCCACGTCAGTTTCCAGTGCCACAAAATGGAAACTACCGACAGCCACCCATGACGTCACGAAATGATGACTTCGCACGGCGCAAGTTTGACCGGAGCTCGCAAGATGGAGCCGGGCCATGTCAACGTCAACCTGTCAACGCATCAGTATTGATTCTTAAGCCTTATATTTAGGATAATGTCATCCAGATAAACCATCACTTTATGTTGGAGATTCTGCTCCCAAAGCATTACCTGCCAAGTTGCTGGTGCATTAATTAACCCGAAAGGCATCCTACAGAACTGAAACAATCCTCGTCCAGACATAGTAGAAGCAGTCCACGTGACTCAGAACTAAGTAGTACTTGCCAATAAGTAGATTCGTAAATATTGTCAAGGATGACTTCTGTGAGAATAGATAAGTGCAGTTCGCTGCAAGTATTTGTGGAATCTCGATTTCGTGCCTTCTGTCTTCTTTTTACAAATGCCAAAAACTGTTCCATAACTAACTTTTCGTGTTCTTTGGATGTTTTACTCTCTTGAATTCCAACCACATCTAAATTCCATAATTTCGTTAGATATAGCAAAATCACTTAAAAGCAGTTTATATCCATTGTTGAAGATTTCTGAACAGCGTGGGAATTTTTGACTTTTCACATTAACGTTCGGCCCAGCAGAGTATGCATAACAGTATGACTATAGGTCAAATCAAGCTATCGTCCAGTTGGAAGTGTCACCATGACATCAGCCCCAACTAAAACATCTATTGGTCCATTTTCGGTATCCGTAATTTGTACACAAGCATCTCAGTCACATCTTTGTAGATCCGCAGAAAAGCATTTTGTTGAACTTTAAGGGCTTTCTTGGTTTGTTCCATCTTCACAGAAAAACGTGTCCTGCCAAACATTTGCCAAAGCCCACCCAGTAAAACGATCTAAAGACACACAATGGAGAAACCTACTTTGAAACCTGGAACCTTTTTCTGTTTGAACTGATTGATACATTTTTATTACGTAGAAGTGACAACTACTACAATACTTGACCAGGTAAGGAAAAAGCTGAAAATGTCTATACAGAGCCTACGAATTTCTACAATACTTTTATGAGTGATTAGATTCTTACTTTGGCATTGCAACAAATGAGCACCGTAGCCGGTAAAAGTAGAGTGAAACCGGTGTAAGCGGAAGCGTACCAAACGGAACCGTCTGTCCGGAAATCGGGGGCGCAAGCCCCTAATCCTTGCAGGTACCGGTAGGGGGCCGCGTTGAACAGCGGCGGAATGGCTAGGAGGAATGAATTGATCCAACCGACGAATAATCCTAGGAGAACCTGAAACAAAGTTTCGTTAATAATATGTTCTGCGCAGCAACATAAAGTGGTAGTTCGATTTTAGTTTTCTGCGCAGGATTATAAAAGCATCAAGTCAAATTGCGTGATGTTTCGATTCAAGTTTTCTGCGCAGCATTATAAAAATACTGCAAGTCAAATTGCGTAAGGGCAAGGTTTTCCGATTTAACTTATTCTATGCATTAGGATAATAGTAACGATTTTTTTGGCTCATCTGAAATGCATTGAAATGGAATAACAACCGGCATCTTAAGGCGGTCGCGTTTCTCCAACCCTCTCGGGTCTCGAATTTATTTACGGTTTTGTTTTTCGTTTATAAATTTTGCATGATAATTGGAAACCATTCTAATGTAATTTGACTTTAAAATTGTTCAAATTTTTCCTATAAGTGCTCTCATAACTGTCCGATCAAATTGTGTTTTTATGCGTCAGATAGCTTATCAGAAAGTGAATAACTTGGCCCTAAGTCGTGTAGACTTTATTAAGAAAATGTTAACTATCACTGCAAAAACAGACTCTAAACTTTGTTAAGTATTACACCATTAGTTCCTGCTTCCTGGACTGAAAAAAAAATGTCCGAAATGACCTTTTCCCGGGTTCTTGAGACCCTTTGAGCGAAATTACTACCGCAATTTAAAGTTTATTAAGCGCGAAATGCGCTCCGTAAATAAATTACCTTAGAGAGAATTGTTTTCTAGTCTGGTTCACTTTACTTGTAATGCAACATGTAAAACTACCGACTAATCACATCCAGGCAAAATTTAACTGACATTTCCATCAGTTATAGCGTAGTTATTTTAAAAATTCAAATTCAACATCTAATGGGTAAAGTGCATAGTTAACTGTTGCAGTTTGAAGCTGTCCAACTTCAAAGTCTGATAAACAATTAACCAGAGGCCTTTCAGGCCCTAAAAGCAAAGTTCAAAGTTTGTCCCTCAAACACAAATAATAATCAAAAGCCGATTTATTTAGTTGGGACAAAGTTTCGCAACTTCAAAAACCAGTGGCGTTACTTATTATATACTAACCTTTCTAGTGCTGACAATATGCGTATAATGTAAGGGCGCAGCGATGGCATAGAAGCGATCGCAATTGAGGCCACAAATAGTCCAGAGGGCCAAAGGATGTAGGAGGGTGAACAAGAACCCGTTGGTAGCGCACGGCGCTCCTGCGCTCGCCCATTCCGTTTCTAGAAAAAAAAAAACAAATCATCGGGCTGGTGAATAATTAAAATCAATTATTATAGCGCGCCAATGGTCGAAAAAAACAATTTGTACAAGTGAATTATTTACTGGCAATTTTCTCTATTTCGGCCCAGCAGCCACAATAATTGGAAGGGATTAATTTGGTTTTAGGTAAAACGTGGAATAAATAGAGTTTCAAACAGAAGTTTTATTTGAGGCCCAATAATTTCACTTTAATATGAGAACAATTAAGAATCGAATACAAAATGACGCATCTTGAAGAATCAATTGAGTGATTATTCGTGGCTCTTGATTTGAATCACTGGTCCACACATACCTGTGAAGTCACTAAGAACATCCTCAAGATTAACAAGGTCTTGTGTTACCAGTCCTGCAGAAATGTACTCTGTCTTTATTGAGGACAATGTGACACAGTTCTGTTTGTGTAAATTCTTTCCATGAAAACATACAAATCCACTTACACTATTGCGAGTATGATGATCACCTGCCCAATTAGCATCACATACATCTATGAGAGTTCACAGTCAATAGTACAGCTTAGATACCGAAGAATTCTAAACTTGTCATAACTTGATTAAATTTCATATTCCAACATTTCCATAGTCCACGTCTAAATTTTAAATATTTTGCATCTATGTTCAAGCCTTCAGTCCTTTAATGTACAATCCATTTAAAAATGCAGTAGGAACATCAATCTGATGCAGTTTCCAACTATTCTGCAAGGACACTGATATAAGTAGTCTTATTGTAGCTAACCTACACACTGGGGCATAGATGAATTGATCACTTCCATTATATAGTACTTGGCAACCTCTTGCAACCAGTCTTGCTTTCTTTGTACCGTCTTCTAAAGGTGTCAAGAATAATCAAGAGCTGGTAATAATTAAAATATGAACTGACAATGTGATGTGACACTTGCAAAGCAAAATTCGAACGAAAAGGCAAAATGAATGTGACACTTGCAAAGCAAAATTTGAACAGCTTCTACTTGGTAAATCTCACATTTTTTTTTGCCTTATGCCCGTATTACATTTGTATTTTTTCCGTGTATTTATTCATGTAATTCAGGGTGACAATCGAAAAACTTCAAACGCAACATAAATCAGCATTTGATTGATCACTTGATTAAATTTCTAAGTCCATATAAAGCACGTCTTAATTTTCAATATTTTGCATATGTGTTCAATCCTCTTTGATGTACACATCATTTTTTAGGAATCCATTAAGAAATGCAGTAGGAACATCAACCTGATGCAATTTCCAACCATTCTGACATAAGTAGTCTTATTGTAGCTAACCTATACACACTAAGGCATAGATGAATCCATCATTTTCATTATATGGTACTTGGAAACTTCTCGCAACCAATCTTGCTTTCTTTGTACCGAATTCTTTTATTTTTAAAATCCACTTCGTTTTTATAGCTGTTTGACATTCAGGAAGTTCTGCTGGAATCTAAGTTTAAGAGTTTTCATGGAATTTAATTTCCTTCTTTATGGTTTTTTTCTACTCTGCAGTTTTAAAGGCTCATAACTTTGCTCGTCTGGAATCGCTGTGAACAAACAATAAGCACTGTATATTTCATAGTCATCAAGTAGTTTTGGGTTTGTTCACAGCTCTTTCATGTCTTGTTATAGTCTCACTATTCAATGGCATATATTTTTTGTTCTCATCACTACTTGAATTTCCGTTACATCCTTACAATTATTGATCATTTGAACAGGTCTCTCTTCTTGTATCTCTTTAATATGATTTTCTTCTTGTCTCTCTTCTCTTTCCTCTTCTTCATCAGGAAAGTAGTTTGGCTGTTTTTCTTTTTCCTTTGGTCCACTTTCTATCGTTATTTTCTTATGGTTTTTCTTGTACTCTATCAAGCTCTCATCCAATCTCACATCTATTTTCTGTTTATCTGGTAACCACAATCTGTAGCCACCACCACAATATCCTACCATAACAGCCTTCTTTGGCTTAACATCTAACTTATTACCTTTGATCTCTCTCAAACTTCTTGTCGACTTAATCAAGTACTCATCATCATAAGTACTGACACAATTTAAACATAAATGCAATATGAATGTGATAATATGATGTGACACTTGCAAAGCAAAATTCGAACGAAAAGGCAAAATGAATGGGACACGTGTAAAGCAAAATTTGAATAATTTCTACTTGGTGAATCTCAAACTTCTTCTTGCCTTACTCAAGTACCAAGTAAAATTTTCATTTGTTACATCCTTTTTCCAAGGGTGATCAAATGCCGGTAATAATCAAAATATGAACTATCATAAGTGGTGACACAATTTCAACAAAAATGCAATATGAATGTGACACTTGCAAAGCAAAATGAATGTGACACATGCAAAGAAAAATTTGAACAGCTTCTACTTAGTAATTCTCAAACTTCTTCTTGCCCGAATCAAGTACCAAGTAAAATTATCATTTATTACATTAATTTTCCAAGGATGATCAAGAGCCGGTTATAATCAAGACATGAACTATCATAAGTTGTGACACAATTTAAACTAAAATGCAATTTGAATGTGGCAATGTGATGTGACACTTGCAAAGCAAAATTCAAACGAAAAGGCAAAATGAATGTGGCACTTGCAAACCAAAATTCAAACAATTTCTACTTGGTAAATCTCAAACGTCTTCTTGCCCTAATCAAATACCAAGTAAAATTTCAATTTGTTACACCATTTTTCCAAGGGTGATCAAGAGCTGGTAATTAACAAAATATAATTTATCGTAAGTAGTGACACAATTTAAACAAAAATGCAATATGAATATGATATGACTCTTGTAAAGCAAAATTCGCACGAAATGTCAAAATGAATGTGATACTTGCAAAGCGGAATTTGAACAATTTCTATTTGGTAAATCTCAAACTTGCCTTAATCAAGTACCAAGTAAAATTTTCATTTATTTCATCATTTTTCCAAGGGTGATCAAGAGCCGACTATAATCAAGACATGAACTATCATAAGTTGTGACACAATTTAAACTAAAATGCAATATGAATGTGGCAATGTGATGTGACACTTGCAAAGCAAAATTCGAACGAAAAGGCAATATGAATGTGACACTTGCAAAACAAAATTTGAACAATTTCTACTTGGTAAATCTCAAACTTCTTGTTTTAATCAAGTAGCAAGTAAAATTTTCATTTGTTACATCATTTTTCCAATGGTGATCAAGAGCCGATATGAACTATCATAACACAATTTAAACAAAAATGTAATATGAATGTGACAATGTGATGTGACACTTGCAAAGCAAAATTCGAACGAAAAGGCAAAATGAATGTGGCACTTGCAAGGCAAAATTTGAACAATTTCTACTTGGTAAATCTCAAATTTCTTCCTGCCTTAATCAAGTACCAAGTAAAATTTTCATTTGTTACATGACGTACAGTGATTTTGGAGATACTTCTTAAACTTGTACAGTATTTCCCTCGTGTATTTCCAAGTATTTCCCCTCGTATTCCCCAGTATTTCCAAGTGTGAAGGTCAAGTTTTAACTGTAACAGCGGGGTAACTGAGCCATATGCCACTATTAGGCTTATTGTTGAAATTTTAATTACCCTCTCATAAAAATTCGTTATAAGTGTGTCTCATTTATACCCTGCATGTAGTAGAAAGAACGCCGCCGGATTAGTTTCTTATAAAACAATTGAAAAGAACAATATACGGTTCTGCCGCTTTCTATGATATCCCAAGATCCACAATAAGACTTTGTGTACTTGGAACAAAAGGAAAAGGTATATTTTCGGTAGCAGGATGGGGTGGTGGAGAAATATATAAATCAAATAGAGAAAGAACTGTTAACTTTGCTGGACACCATGCAAATATGGATTACTTACAAAGAAAAAAGGTTTTTTATATAATTTTTTGTTTATTTTACCATTTTTCTTAAACGGTATTTTCTCACCACTAAGCAATACTTTCGTTGTATCTCCCATATTTCATGAGCAAAAAAAAATAAAATTTAGTAGGGTCGTTACACATACGTTACAATATGTTCCAGTCGCCTCAGAATTATTACTATGTGAATGAATAAAAATATAGGGGTCACTGTTTCAGTTGCCTCAAAATTAGGTGAACTGGAACAGTTGACCAAAAAAATTGGAAGACTTAAGCAGAACAAAGTGGAAGACTGAATTAGAACAGACATGTACGCAATTCTTGAGATTTTAATGAAAATGCCCAAAAATACATGAAAAGTGGGGTTGGAAGTTATAGAAATTTACAGGGACTTCCATGTATTTCCAAATTATTCCCATGTACTATGTTATTTCAGAGTATTCCCATATACTTCCATAGTATTTCCAAGGATTTCGAAGTATTCCCAGAGTATTACCAAGTATTCCTAGGTATTTCCAAAGTATTCTCAGCAAAGTGTACAGTGATTTCCATGAGTGATTTATGGCTAGTTGCACCAAGATTCCATTAATCTAAGCTTAATAAAACTGGGATTCAAAAATAAACCTCGATCATTCGACCTGACGTTGCATGGCACACAACTAAGCTCGGTTTGATTAAACTAGTAATTTATAGGATTTTTTACGTTTAGGTTGGCAAACATGTTGAAAATTTGTCAAATGTGAAAGCAAAAATAGAAAATATAACCTAGAAAGCGAATTATTTTTTGTAAGTTTTTCCGAATCGAAGCAGTGACTGAACCCTTTGTATTTTGTAGTTTTTTTCTGCTAATTCGCTTCATTTGAAAAAATAGATCCACTAATAGCACAAGTGAAACAGAGATGAGCCAATTTTACCAACAACGATAAAGCTCTCCTACTATACTAATTAATATTATGGCAAAATACAAGATCATTATTGAAAAAAAAAAAAAAAACTGATTCTCTCTATAGTTTTCTCTATTTTCGTAGCTAGCAAAGTTTCAAACATTCTACAGCTCTTGGACAAGAAGGCCCTGCACTGTTATACTTTATACTTCTGTATTATTTCCTTCCAAGTGTCTTGTTTTTCATTGCCGTATATTCTATTTTGCACAGATATTTCGATCGAGATTGATTATTGAATTTAAAAATCAAATATCTACCTACATAATAATAAATAATGAAATTCTCACAACATGAACATATGCCGTAAACAACGACAGACGGCATGTCATTTCACTTTGCGAATTTCCTTTCTACGCATTTAATTAGTAAAACTTCCCTTTAAACCATCAAACATGACCGTTTAAGTTGAACCAAGTTCAAATCAAATTAAACTTTGTTCAAGAAACGGTGCAATGGATTTCTTTGATTTAAACCAAGATTAATGTTAAACCAAGATCAGAAATTGTTGGTGCAACTACCCATTAGTCCTCGGTTACATCATTTTTCCAAGGGTGATCAAGAGCCGGTTATGATCAGGACATGAACTATCATAAGTAGTGACACAATTTAAACATAAATGCAATATGAATGTGGCAATGTGATGTGACACTTGCAAAGCAAAATTCGAGCGAAAAGGCAAAATGAATGTGACACTTGCAAAGCAAAATTTGAACACTTTCTACTTGGAAAATCTCAAACGTCTTCTCGCCCTAATCAAATACCAAGTAAAATTTCAATTTGTTACACCATTTTTCCAAGGGTGATCAAGAGCTGGCAATTAACAAAATATAATTTATCGTAAGTAGTGACACAATTTAAACAAAAATGCAATATGAATGTGATATGACTCTTGTAAAGCGAAATTCGCACGAAAAGACAAAATGAATGTGACACTTGCAAAGCAAAATTTAAAGAATTTCTACTTGGTTAATCTCAAATAGTCCCCAGTACATCGATCTTGAAATTTTGTAACTCATGTACACGCCCAACTTCCTGAGCGGCTTCATAACACCAAGTCGGACAATATTTTTCATGTCTCCACCCTGGGCGATGGGACATTGCTGCGCTAGCTCTTCGTGAAGTTGTCGTTCTGACGTCCCTAAGGAAGTTGATACATGTACGTGTAGTTTCAATGCCAATCGATTGTTTTTTACATTACATTAACGATATCACATTTGTCGGACAAAAACCATGCGGCTTTAGGGAAGGTCCGACACCCCCAACATGTCGCTGTGGCGTCCCTAAGGAAGTTGATACATGTACGTGTAGTTTTAATGCCAATCGACTGTTTTTTTTATTACATTAACGATATCATATATGTCGGACAAAAATCACGTGGCTTCGGGGGGGTCCGACGCTCTCAACATGTCGCTGTGGCGTCCCTAAGGAAGTTGATACATGTACGTGTGTTTTTAATACCAATCGGCAGTTTTTTACATTACATTAACGATATCACATTTGTCGGACAAGAAATTTGAGACAATCAATGAAAAAATTAAAATTAGTTTGCCTTAAAGCAACATGCATATTAGTCAGTTTATTATTTACCTACTTTGTCAAATACCTGTGTCATATTCCCTAATCTGTTTTTTTGATAGTTCTCCGAGCATTTACGGAAATTATTCAGTAAACGGTCATTCAAAACCACGCGTGTGAGAAAGAATGGATATTCAGTCGTGTTTTTTGTGCAATCTCAGGAGTGAAGATCCTGAATTTCGGCAGAAATTGATCAAAACGACTTTTGTTGTCCGACTGACTTTAATACTCATTTTATTTGTCCGACATTTACTGCACATATTTTAAAAATACATCGTTATTCATAATTATTTTTGTCGGACATACATGTGTCAACTTCCTTAGGGACGTCACAGCGACATGTTGGGGGCGTCGGACCCCCCCAAAGCCACGTGATTTTTGTCCGACCTATGTGATATCAATAATGTAACATAGAAAACAGTCGATTGGCATCAAAACCACACGTACATGTATCAACTTCCTCAGGGACGCCACAGCGACATGTTGATGGCGTCGGACCTTCCCCAAAGCCACATGGTTTTTGTCCGACAAATGTGATATCGTTAATGTAATATAAAAAGCAGTCGATTGGCATTGAAACTACACGTACATGTATCAACTTCCTTAGGGACGTCAGAACGACAACTTCACGAAGAGCTAGCGCGGCAATGTCCCATCGCCCAGGGTGGAGATATGAAAAATATTGTCCGACTTGGTGTTATGAAGCCGCTCAGGAAGTTTGGCGTGTACATGAGTTACAAAATTTTAGGGTCGATGTACTGGGGACTAAAACTTCTTCTTGCCGTAATCAAGTACCAAGTAAAATTTTCATTTGTTACATCATTTTTCCAAGGGTGATCAAGAGCCGGTTATAATCCAGATATGAACTATCATAAGTAGTGACACAATTTAATTTAAACTAAAATGCAATATGAATGTGGCAATGTGATGTGACACTTGGAAAGAAAAATTCGAACGAGAAGGCAAAATGAATGTGACACTTGCAAAGCAAAATTTTAACAATTTCTATTTGGTAAATCCCAAACTTCTTCTTGCCTTAATTGAGTACCAAAATTTTCATTTGTTACATCATTTTTTCAAGGGTGATGAAGAGCCGATAATAATCGAAATATGTAAGCAGCAAATATATGTAATACTGTACCTGTGGCGCCTGAGGGCAAAGTAACTCTTTTATTAGATTCAGGGGCAAGTAATAATTTTGTTCAAGGGAAATTGGAACAGTATAGGCATGTTGTAAAAACCTTACCACAGAATGTATCAGTATATATAGCCAACGGAGAAGTTTTAAAGACAGACAAGGTAGGAACGTTAAAAGCAAGTTGTCAAGATCAAACTGTTTATATTGAGGCTTTAGGTTTGTTTGTTTGTGTCGCACTTACTATAATTAGAGGTAAAAATTTTGCTTAAACGTGCCAGAATAGAAACGGTTTGTATATGCTTACATAAGATGGCATTGATAGGGCAAAAGAGGAATATAACCTAACCGTAGATGATAATATATGGCATAGAAAACTTGGGCATGCAAGTAAAGATGTTCTGTCATAGTTAGGTTTAAAAACTTCAGACAGAATCTGTTCAACTTGTATTGAAGGGAAAGCCACACGTTCTCTTTTTGTAACCAATGAGGTACTTACAACAGCTATAGGTGAATCAATTTTCAGTGATCTAGGTATGTGAACCTGTGATACCTAACACAGTGAAGAGAGATATTTTCAAGTGATTCTTGATGAATAATTACTCGCATTTTGTTAATTTGAAGTTACTTAAGAATACATATGAAGCAGAAGGAAATTTGGAGAGATTAAGCACAATGTAAGAGTGAAACGTTGGATAATGGAGGAGAGTTTACATCAAGAAGTTTTAAAGATTTTAGCAGACAAAAGGGGATCAAACCAGAATATACAATGGCCTCAGATAAACGGTAAATCTGAACGGATGAACCGAACTTTCTTGAATATAATAAGAAGAACAAAATTAATTGATTCTGGCATTTCAAAATCACTATAGGGAGAAGCTGTAAAGTTTTCTGCATATGAACCCAACAGAACCCCTACATCGGCTTTACCAAGAGCATGGACACCATGTTTATCATCGACAAAATATAAATGCAAGTCTGAGCTTGTTGTTTTCGCTAGAACGGAAACGCTTATCAGTTATAAGTAAAAATAGCCGTGAAACATGATACCCCTGTTTATACCGTTCCTATATTAAGCGTCGGCGGCGTATGACGATTCACGAATTTTCGCTATTGACCACTTCGGCATCCTGTTATAGGACACATCGAACGTCACACTATGTACGCTAGATGGCGCCACCGATAACGTCATCACGTCGCGACGCCATTGTTGACGCTTGCGCAGTCATCACGGAGGCGTTTTTTTGCGTTATTGCAATTATTAGCCTTCAAATATACCCCATAATTATTTGGACGATAACTACGGTTTGAAGATGACACTATGAGATAAGGAGCTGCGGTCAAATTTCAGGAAAACCCCGAAAAAATTGGGGTTGGCTGGGTCAAATCCCCGAAATTTCAGATCAAAGGTGCCGCCGATCTAGAGATTTTCCCAGGCTCAGGTGCCCCCGTTACTCCAATCGTTCGATCAAGAGATGTTAGGCTCGATGAGACTTTTATGGAATTCAAGAATGTAGAAATATCAGTGGCGCACACTGGTAAAACCTTTTTCTACCGACAAAAAAGTCAAGAATAATGACAAAACTAACTGGTGACGCGCTACCACTGAACATATTTCCGCCGTTGCCCAAGAGGCGTGGTTTCCTCCATGACCATCTTTCTGTTTTCATTCTAATTGTTTGTTATTCTGTGCTATATTCTATTCGAAACCAGTGGCGCATACGTACGATTTGAAAAAGTACTTTTACCTTTGACTTCTACCAAAACATATCTCAAATTAATTTTAAAAAAAACCCTTAACGGTTTCAGTTTTTGCCGCAAATTTACATCAAAATTATGTTTTTTTTCCTAAATTCAAGTGTCTAGACTCCGCATCATTATAAATCAATTTGCCTAATTCCATCTATTAGGTAAAACAAACGACAACATAATTCTAGAATCAAAGTTGCGTGCTTTCCATACTTAGACTTAATATAATTTGGGCTTTAATTAAAGCCCTTCCGCTGCAATCGATGCGAAATTTGTTGAGCAAAAGTTTCGCATGCCTGGTAAACCAACCACAAAGGGAGAAATTTGTCTCTTAAATACCTAAAAAATTCTTACCTTTAATTCCTGGCAAGCAGAAAATCAAGAAAAGCGTTCCGATAAGGATGTTTATTAGTCCTAGATGTAGCAGTAATATGTTGTTGGCAGTGGTGAGCTAGAAACAAAAAGATTTTGTAGTAAGTAGATAATTTACCAAGTGAGGTTCTAAGATTTATCTCGAGGAAACTAGACTAATTGGATTTTGCCATAGTAATTACCTACACAGACAATTATTCTTGGAAACTACCTATTACAATTCCAATTGAGTTTGAAATTAAATAAAAAACTACCAGGATCTATTTTGTATAGTTGCATTTTCTCCATATACAAGCGACGCATAATAAAGTATTCTTTAAAGTTTTTTAACATAATCAAAAAGAAAAAGGAAAACTCTTCGTATAGCATTTGAACTTGAAGTTTTGCGAGTGTTGAAAATTCAAAAGTAGTTCAATAAATCGATTTGAACATATAAAGGAGAAAAGTTTTCGTATGTATTTCACGTAAAATCCAAATTTTCAAATCAACAAAAATTCCGAAACTGAAAGTGGAAATTAACTATTATCGGCCGGAATTGGCACTTTTCCTGTCAAAGGAAATTGTGAAACTTTACGAATCGGTCGGTTAAACTCTTGCCAACGTTATTTTTTATTAACAATAAACATTTTAACGAGCGAATTCGCTCGGATTTAATTAAATTTGTCGGTTTTAATGTTGGAAATTGATAACCTTGTATTTATGTAAGTAATAATTGAAAACTTTATTGCAAAATTTTTAGCGTAAAAGGTCCCAAAAGAATATTTTGCTTATGTATATTTTAAAAGTTTCATGTATCTTTGGGAAAAGTTTGGATTAAATTTACCAAAAAAATATGCTGTAAGATAATAGAAAACTTACAAACAAATTGAATTTAGTTTCAGACTGCATTTAGTCCCTATACTTGTGCCATATTCATATTTTATTAAGGGCCGGTGGGCTAACTAGCTAGTTAAGTCGAAAGCTGTTTATCCAAGCTTTTTTAACCCAGGGCTGGTAAACTCTCGGGTTCTTCGAAAGTTGGCACTACTTATGCAACGTTGCCAGCTCACTTTTATTTATTTTTTCAGATTTTCTGCTCATAACCTTACATTTATACCAAAGTAGCATGCGACGTGCTACCGTGCGACTCGCTGCCAGAAAGCAGGGAGCACGTTGCAATTTGAGTTTTCCATGTTTACAAATTCGGATATATATCCGTTTGAATGTAACACTTGCAAAGTGAAATTTAAACGAAAAGGTGTTTTGAAGAGGCACATGCTAAAACACTCGGATATTTATCCTTTTGAATGTGACACTTGCAAAGTGAAATTTAAACAAAAAGGCAATTGGAAAATGCACATGTTAACACATTCGGATATTCATCCTTTTGAATGTGACACTTGCGAAGCAAAATTTAAACCTTTTTGAAGAAGCACATGTTAACACACTCGGATATTTATCCATTTGAATGTGACACTTGCAAAGCAAAATTTAAAATAAAAATCGTTTTGAAGATGCACTTGGTGACACACTCGGATATTTATCCTTTTGAATGTGACACTTGTAAAGTAAAATATAAACGAAAAAGCGATTTGAAGAGGCACATGTTATCACACTTGGATATTTAGTCTTTTGAACATAACACTTACAAAGCAAAATTCAAATAAAGAAGACCATCTGAAAAATCACATATTACTACATTCGGATATTCATCCTTTTGAATTTGACACTTGCAAAGCAAAATTCAAATGAAAAGCTATTTAAAAAGGCATATATCATATCATGCGTGCGATCGTGCGACTTGCCGCTAGAAAGCAGGGAGCACGCAGCAACTTGAGTTTTCCATGTTTACATTCATACCAAAGGCCATTTGAAGATGCACATGTTTACAGATTCGGATATATATCCTTTTGAATGTAACACTTGCCAAGTGAAATTTAAACGAAAAGGTGTTTTGAAGAGGCACATGCTAACACACTCGGATATCTATCCTTTTAAATGTGACACTTGCAAAGTGAAATTTAAACAAAAAGGCAATTGGAAAATGCACATGTTAACACATTCGGATATTCATTCTTTTGAATGTGACACTTGCGATGCAAAATTCAAAACAAAAGGCGTTTTGAAGAAGCACATGTTAACACACTCGGATATTTATCCATTTGAATGTGACACTTGCAAAGCAAAATTTAAAATAAAAAGCGTTTTGAAGATGCACTTGGTGACACACTCGGATATTTATCCTTTTGAATGTGACACTTGTAAAGTAAAATATAAACTTCACAATATCAAAATTCAAGCCAAGACCAACAATTTTCAAAAAAAATCAGATTAGAAAATAAGAGAAATTTTGAGATTAACCCCGGGTCAAATACGCTAACTTGCCGCGAGAGTGCGGGTTAATTTTTTCCTGAAATAACTTTCGAGTTAGCAGTTGACCCTGGATGAATAAACACTCGTCACAACTTTGACCCAAGGTTATCTGTAACTCATGGGGTAACCCTCTATTGATAAACCGGCCCTAAATGGCGCTATAGAGTGTGACGTACATTTTCGCGTACATAAGAATCGTTTACAATTGACGTAGAAGAGTGACAAGTGACATCATATTTGGCGGGTATTTTTATCCTATTCACAATCCTTACTCCAAAGGTAAAGATAAATTTATCACATTTCCCTATCAAATAGCACTGAAAGGTGATAAATTATTTACCTTTACCTTTGGACATCTTATTGTGAATAGATAACATAAGTTTGAAATTCTTACCTGTCTGGTTAATAATATAATCAAAACCGTGTATCCGTTAAATGCGATCCCGATAGTGCAAATAATTGTTAACACTACCGATAGGATCAACGTCATGCCGTCCAAAAAAACGACGTTTTTCTCCTTTTTTTCAGTGGACGTCCATCATCAGCGCTAATTTATCCATCGTGGTCTGTATGGAAACGGATTTCTGCAAATAAAAATAATGTTGAATGTCTTTTTGTTGTATGACTAATTATTATTGATATAGTGTGAATTATTAATACAGTTTTGCCTGAATATATCAAGCGCCATCTTGCGACATTTCTTCGCCATCTTTTAGCTTATTACATTACATCCAACGATTACATCACAGTTAACTAATTCCATCACCAGGTTAGTGTGCATGAACCAAATCGTGACAAGACTGCTTTTGTGAAATATCATTACACGCGCATGCTGTTCGGCCTTAAAAATGCGCCAGCGACCTTCCAACAGCTAATTGATCGGTTCCGGAACGGATATTGACCAGATACAACGGTACTATAGTAGTTCTAGCGTACTTAGATGATCCTATTGTTCTGTCCAGTTCATGTGATGAGCACTTAGAGGATTTAAAACTAGTGTTTGATAGATACTTGAACAGTTTAAACTTCGGACAGATCGCGAAAAGTTTGTGTTCGCGTGCGCACAAGTGAAGTATCTCGGACACTTAATCACGCCACAAGGACAAGGACAAAACAGCAGCCATTGCTGAACGCCAAGCACCTCGAAATGTTCATGAGGTACAGTCTTTCCTACAAACTGCGAGTTGGTACCGACGTTTTATAGAGAACTTCGCCGATATATCTCGCCATCTCAGTAACTTAACCGAAGGTCATGACATTATGATAACAAACTTCCAATTATAATTATTATTATTCAGAAGATTCACCTGATCCCATAAATTGTCTAACTTACTTAACGTTTTTCGTTTTTCGGAATTGGAGAGTAATGCCTGGATTTTAGCCTGTCCTGGCCTTATTCCCTCGCTTGATATTTCTCTACCAATATATTCCAAGGAAGATTGGAGAGAAGGACATTTTTTAATATTCAAAGAAAATTCAGCAGAAATCAATGCTTCTGAAATTTGACCCAAAGAAGTAAGTCTTTCTTCATATGTAGAACTAGGCATAGAGGTACACTAAGGCTATTGAGTCTTTTAATGAGCCCAATGCCGAATTCACGCTTCTCTGAAATACAGCAGGGGCATTCGCTAAGCCAAATGGCATCCTCAAAAACTCGAAATGTCCATCGGGCGTAACAAAAGCCGTTTTTTGAGCCGAGTCTTCATGTATGGGAATCAAAAGTGGTAGTTTATCTCAGTAGAAGAACGACAGAATACGAAGCTTAGTACCACTCTTATGAACTTGAGGCGTTAGCAATAGTCGAAGCTCTTAAACATTTTCGAACGTACCTCCTTGGTATTAAATTTACAATAATCACCGATTGTACTGCCTGGCCTTATTCCCTCGCTTGATATTTCTCTACCAAGATATTCCAAGGAAAATTGGAGAGAACGACATTTTTTAATATTCAAAGAAAATCCAGCAGAATTCAATGTTTCTAAAATTTGACCCAAATAAGTAAACCTTTCTTCATATGTAGAACTAGGCATAGAGGTACACTAAGACTATTGAGTCTTTCAATGAGCCCAATGCCGAATTCACGCCGCTCTGATATAAAGCAGGGGCATTCGCTAAGCCAAATGGCATCCTCAAAAACTCGAAATGTCCATTGGGCGTAACAAAAGACGTTTTTTGAGTCGAGTCTTCATGTATGGGAATCAAAAGTGGTAGTTTATCTCAGTAGAAGAACGACAGAATACGAAGCTAAGTACCCCTCTTATGAACTTGAGGCGTTAGCAATAGTCGAAGCTCTTAAACATTTTCGAACGTACCTCCTTGGTATTAAATTTACAATTATCACCTATTGTACTGCCTGGCCTTATTCCCTCGCTTGATATTTCTGTACCAAGATATTCCAAGATTGGAGAGAACGACATTTTTTAATATTCATAGAAAATCCAGCAGAATTCAATGCTTCTAAAATTTGACCCAAATAAGTAAGTCTTTCTTCAGATGTAGAACTAGGAATCAAAATGGCATAGAGGTACACTAAGGCTATTGAGTCTTTCAATGAGCACTAATGCCGAATTCACGCCTCTCTGAAATACAGCAGGGGCATTCGCTAAGCCAAATGGCATCCTCAAAAACTCGAAATGTCCATCGGGCGTAACAAAAGCCGTTTTTTTGAGCCGAGTCTTCATGTATGGGAATTTGATGAAAGGCCGACGCCATATTATCGATGCATGGAAGAGGAAATTCATCTTTTATCGTAATTTAGTTCCTGGTAATCCACACAAAATCTAAAGTCTTCATTCTTTTTTTTGATAAGTATTACAGGACTGGCATAAGGAGATTCACTTGGTTGGATAATTTTATTCGTCACTAAATCTGCAGTTATTTCTCGCACAGCTGTCCTCTCGCTTCCAGACAATCGATACGGTAATCGTGCAATGTCATCTTTTTCTAATTTAATTTTAAGACTAATATTATTTAATGCACCCACTTTAGTGCTAGTTGTGATGATAGAACTGAAATCTTGTAGTGAATGTTTCGAATTTCGGCTTGATATTCTAAGGGAGCTTCGATTGCACTAGTATTTGAACTTGCTTCAAATACGACTCGATAGGAAGTTGTCGTCATAATATTCTTGATTCTTTGTAATCAGTTATTGAAACCAAAAATAGATCTTCAAATGGTTACCAAACGTCATAATTAAGGTATTCTGTTCTCCAGGCACAAATACAAACGTAACTCAACACAAGTGAGCTGGGTAAAACTGGATGTTATTAGGATGCCAATACATTTGAACGATGACAAGCCAGTAGTATATCGTCCTTACCGGTTGTCATACGCAGAGAGAAATGTTGTGAAGGCATAGTCGATGATCTTATTAAGAATGACATTATCCGGGAAAGTGAATCGCCATATTCAAACCCCATATTGTTAGTTGAAAAAAAAATTAGGAAAATGGTTTAAGGGAACAGCGTATGTGTGTCGACTGAATTCCAAGACCATCCAGGATCAATTTCCACTTCCTCACGTTAACGGTTTTTTAGAAAAACTCAAAGATAGTCAATGTTATACAAATTTAGTTTTAGCCAGCGGCTATCATCAGATTCCAATCAAAGATTCGTCAATTCCCAAGACTGCATTTATCACGTCTGATGGTTATTACGAATATTTGCGTGTTCCTTTTGGATTGCGTAATGCTCTCGCGATTTTTCAAAGGAAACTCTTCGATATAGAAATGGTAATGTAATAGCTTATATGGATGATGTGCCTCTACTCCGAAAAGATTTTGAGACTGGTTTAGTCATGTTGCAAACAGTGTTTGAATCCATTAGAGCAGCTGGTCTTTGAGATTATCCAAGTGTCAATTCTTTATGGAGAGAGAGTGTTCAACCAGGAAAACGAACATTTGAACCTATTAAAAGCTAACCAGCCCCCACGGATGTTCGTAAAGTTCGACAGTTTGTTGGGTTAGCTAGCTACTTTAGGAAGTATCAGGTATTTGCTACGATCGCTCGTCCTTTGACATCTCTAACGAAAAAGGATGTTACATTTTCTTGAGGTATTGAACAAAGTAAAGCCTATGATACTCTCAAGGAAAAATTATCATCATTCCTAATACCTATACGCGTATACCTAATACCTATACACTTAGACCCTAGGGCTAGAGTCCCAAGGGATCATGGGTCAAAGAGCTTTTAGCACGTGCGTAACGAGAACTGGAATTCATTGAGAGAGAAAGTAATTAATATTGAATTATTGGAGTAAATCTAGATGGTCGTCTATTTCTTAAAAACAATAAAAAATATTGGACATGTATATTCACCTGTCCAATATACGGAGCTGTCACTTAGAACTTGTAACATCTAAGAAATTTTATCGCTAGAAGAGAAAGGCCTTCGACCATTTATAGCGATAATGGGACAAATTTTGTGGGAGCAGACAACCTTTTTGAAAAAATAGAAAAGAAGGAAAAGAACCTAAGAAAACCAGATATGGACGAACCATATAAGAGTTCTAGAAAAGTTTTCGTCTAATAAGTAGTTTTTCTGTTGATACCCTCATTGGTAGTTGTCGAATCATATTTTGTTAAGTTTATAATTTTTATCCAATAAACCCAGTATTAATCTGGATTTCTGTGTAAACCTGCACCGAGAACTGGTTAGATTTCTCATTTAAACATTTCAATAATCTTTACTCTATTTTCGTTCTACTTCCAATTTATTTTGCCTTCTTATGAAAGAGCCTCTAATTTCATAAATTAGTCAAACTCACTGTGAGTCCTTATAGAAACCCCTCAAATACGATTATAAATTTCTTATTTTATTTGTAATCATCTATTGGATATAAAATGAAACTATAGCCGGAAGTTACTTATAGCAAAAGCCCAGTATTTATTTTCAAAGCCGGAACGTGATTATTTCGATTTTGCTCCCTAGAGCCAGAAAGAAAAAGTTTTGTACGTGATTTGGAAATCTTTACCTTTAATTTACCAATTTTTTTTTTGGTTTAAATATTGGATTCGTTTCGGCTATAAGAAAAAAAAAACACCTCTTGAGTAACACACTACATAAAACAATTTAATCATTACCTACTTTGGTTAATTACAAAACTACAGTATATTTCATTTCGACACTTTGGAACTTGTTTTAAATTGAAACGATATATACAGGGTGTTGTTTTTTACTAAAATACATTTGATTGATTCTCTTTAAATTAATATAAAATTGTTTAATACACCACATACATATTAGTTTCACACGATTTAATTAATCTTTTTTGATAACCCGTAAACTTTATTTACGCAAATCTCATTTTGTGTGTTAACGCGTCTCCAAAATGTTGCTGGTTTATTCAATATTAGTGTTTGGTTCTAGTTTTTGGTGTAATAGTGTTAAGGCTATAGGTAATGAAGTTGTAAATTAGTATTACATTTGTTATGAATAGTCATGTATAGTTTCCTATTTGGTTCCAAACATCTAAATTGCATTTTCCTCAATATTTTTGAGGTTTTTATTTATGTTGTTCGAATATGTTCAAGTTCAAATTTTCAATATTCCCTTGAATCTCTTGATTGATTGATTCAATTCAATTTTTTTTAAGATTTCCAATTGTTGTCTGGGAACCAAGATTAATTAACTGATCATTTCCAATGTTCAATTTTTGATTATTCTCGGCTCTTGATTCGGATCAAAAATCAAAATTCAATGTAATGCTTTGCTTGATTTCCTTCACTTAAGTCTTCAAAAGTCTCAAGTTTTAAATCCTTTTTGCTTTTGTATATTTATAGAGAAAAATCAAACAAACCAAGTTTGGAAATTAATTACCTACATAAAAAATGACACACTAAATTCTCCAACGAGTTCGTAATAATAAAAATATTCATGCATATCATCGATAACTATTTTTTCGATAAACAAACATAACTTTTACTTTGCTTATCAAAAACGAAAGCTATAATTACATACAACAAACGTGGTAAAGTTTGTATTTATTTAAACATCACATCAGTCAGTTTGCAGGTTATAATAAACGTGTAAGCACCTTACGCGGCAATTACTTAGATATTTATTTTAATAACAATCTAGATTCTAGATAAATAAAATAATGTAACTCGAATTTTTGTGGTGACGTGTTGTTGTAGGTGATACGATGTTCTGAAGTAATAATTAGTGTACATTTACGTAAACAAAATAATGATTGTTGCAGATTTGCCACAAGACTATGTGCAACTTATTGAACAATTCAATCCTGCGATACAAGAAAATATTGTTAGTGTAAGTATATTATTTAATTACCATACAATTAGTCATCGTTATTGACTTTAAATGAATGAATCAGCTGTTTGGATATCAAATTTTAATCGAGTAGGCCGAGCTGAAAAACTGACTCTGTTGACAGATGTCCACAACTATGGGTCTGTCATAGTTTTTAATTTAATTTATTAAATTTCAGGCTTTCAATAATGCCATGGCACGCAATCACCGTAGGAAAAACTTCATCAAAACCGTTCACAGTTTGGATGCCATCTTGATATCGCTAGACAATACGAAAATGTAAGTCAAAGAACCGATTTTGTGTTTAACGGAAAACGTTTTTAGTCTACTATAAAAGCAGTTGTATTGGAATATTCACTTTATTTATAATGAAGGTAATAGCTACCATCTGACTAAAACGATGAAATTTCAATTTTTTTTTTTTTGTTCAGTTTTTGTGTCTCAATGGTCCTTTGGGATCCCCCAAACTTTATACACTAAATTATTATTAGATTTGAAGCCGAAAACTACGAAAAAAGGCACTCAGAAAAATTGATAAATCACCCCAAATTATCTCAGGAACTATAAGTCAAAATGAGTTGAAATTTTCAGGGATTGTAGTCCTCTACTGGAATAAGAATCGCTAAAAATTTCAGCTTTATATCTTCAATAGAAAAAAAGTTATGACCTTCCAAAGTTTTCCAAAATCTAAATCATAATAGGTAGCTTTTAACTAAATGGAGAAAATTTCAATTTTTTTTTGGTGAGATTTTATGTCCTAACGGTCACTTGTGATCCCCCAAACTCCATACACTAAATTATTCTCAGATTTGAAGCCGAAATTCATGTAAAAAGGCACTTAGAAAAATTGATAAATCACCCCAGATTGCTTAACACGATTTTATCTCAGGAACTATAAGTGTAAATGAGCTGAAGCTTTCAGGGATTGTAGTCCCTGTACTGAGATAAGATTCAGTGAAAATTTCAGCTTTCTATCTATAATAGAAAAAAAGTTATGACCTTTCCAAGTTTTCCAAAATCTAAATCATAAGGTAGCTTACTAAAACGATGAAATTTCAATTTTTTTTTGTTGTTGAGATTTTGTGTCCTAATGGTCATTTGATATCCCCCCAACTCCATAAACCAAGTTATTCCAAGATTTAAAGCCGAAATCTATGAAAAAAGACACTCAGAAAAATTGGAAAATTGATAAATCACCCCAAACTGCTTAACACTATTTTATCTCAGGAACTATAAGTGTAAATGAGCTGAAATTTTCAGGATTGTAGTCTCTGTACTGAGATAAGATTCAGTGGAAATTTCAGCTTTATATCTATAATAGAAAAAAAGTTATGAACTTTCCAAGTTTTCCAAAATCTAAATCATAAGGTAGCTAGCTACCTTCTTACTAAAACGATGAAATTTCAATTTTTTTTGTTTTTTTTTGAGATTTTGTGTCCTAACGGTCACTTGTGATCCCCCAAACTCCATACACTAAATTATTCTCAGATTTGAAGCCGAAATTCATGTAAAAAGGCACTTAGAAAAATTGAAAAATTGATAAATCACCCCGGATTGCTTAACACTATTTTATCTCAGGAACTATAAGTGTAAATGAGCTGAAATTTTCAGGGATTGTAGTCCCTGTACTGAGATAAGATTCAGTGGAAATTTCAGCTTTATATCTATAATAGAAAAAAAGTTATGACCTTTCCAAGTTTTCCAAAATCTAAATCATAACGTAGCTAGCTACCTTCTTACTAAAACGATGAAATTTGAATTTTTTTTTTGTTAAGATTTTGTGTCCTAATGGTCATTTGATATCCCCCCAACTCTATACACCAAGTTATTCCCAGATTTGAAGCCGAAATCTATGAAAAAAGACACTCAGAAAAATTGAAAAATTGATAAATCACCCCAAATTGCTTAACACGATTTTATCTCAGGAACTATAAGTGTAAATGAGCTGAAATTTTCAGGAATTGTAACCCTGTACTGAGATAAGATTCAGTGAAAATTTCAGCTTTCTATTTATAATAGAAAAAAAGTTATGACCTTTCAAAATTTTCCGAAATCTAAATCATAAGGTAGCTTACTAAAACGATGAAATTTCAATTTTTTGTTGTTGTTGAGATTTTGTGTCCTAATGGTCATTTGATATCCCCCCAACTCCATAAACCAAGTTATTCCAAGATTTAAAGCCGAAATCTATGAAAAAAGACACTCAGAAAAATTGGAAAATTGATAAATCACCCCAAATTGCTTAACACTATTTTATCTCAGGAACTATAAGTGTAAATGAGCTGAAATTTTCAGGAATTGTAACCCCTGTACTGAGATAAGATTCAGTGAAAATTTCAGCTTTCTATCTATAATAGAAAAAAAGTTATGACCTTTCCAAGTTTTCCAAAATCTAAATCATAAGGTAGCTAGCTACGTTCTTACTAAAACGATGAAATTTCAATTTTTTTTTGTTGTTGAGATTTTGTGTCCTAATGGTCATTTGATATCCCCCAACTCCATACACCAAGTTATTCTCCATCCTCCAAATTCCATACACTAAATAATTCTGACTTGAAGCCAAAATCTATGAAAAAAGACACTTAGAAAAATTGAAAAATTGATAAATCACCTCAAATTGCTTAACACTATTTTATTTCTGGAACTATAAGCCCAAAAGAGCTGAAATTTTCAGGGATTGTATAGTCCTCCACTGGGATAAGAATCGCTGAAAATTTCAGCTTTCTATCTATAATAGAAAAAATTTAATAATATGAACTGTTCTGTACAATATTTAATAATACTTTTAATACAAATCAGTTCTTCAGGATCAATAAAACCTGAAAACTTCATAAACCGAAAACTTCATCAACCTTACCAACGTCAACGTTAGGATTATACTGAAATTGAACCACTCTAAGAAGAAATACACAACCACTAAGTTGTACCAAGTATATTTTTGCCCTATGTCTATTCGCTCAATAACTGACGGTTGGTTTGTTCGAAAGGTGGCTGTCGATTTTTTACGAATTCCATTTTGGATAGAAATACAAATAGTAAAAAAAATAAAATGATTTCTTCAGCTCCGAACTATTAATTACCACTGACATATATCTCCCCACATGTAGAAGTATCTTCCATTCTCCTACATTTCTTCCTAATGTCTAAAAGGAAATCGTTTAGGAAGTTTGGCATTCTGCGTTCTCCTCTAAATCTAGAGGTTGCTGTTTCAGTGTCTTCTATTTCTTTTGAGGCTCCATTGTTGTTAGACTTCTTTGTGTCACCATTTCGTACATTATCTTCTGAAATGTTCACACCTGCTGCAAACCCATTATCTGCTCGAGGAGATGTTGGAGTAGAATGAATTGATGAATTTTTCCTATATTTAATATATTTATTTTGAAAGTATCCAATAACAATAATGTAGTGAAATTCCATTATTGATTTCTTCAACCTGAGGCCTATTTCCTAAAAATGAACGAGTTGAAGAGTTAAGGAGTAGACACAAATTTATTTTCTATCTAACTTGTAATCCTGCTATCACAGTATCCATAATTTTTTGAAAAACACCCGGTGCTTTTTTGATACCAAAAGGCATTCTATTATATTGAAATAGACCTTGATGTGTTAAATATTGTTTGGAATTTTTATCTATTTCAATTTGAAGAAATGCGTCAGAAATATCCACAATGCTGAATACGGTCAGTCAGAAATATCTACAATGGTGAATAAGTTGGGAAAATATGTCTTCGGCAGTTGGTAATGGATAATGATGTGATTTTAATGTCTGATTCAATACGGTAGAATAATCCCTACAAACTGGAAACAACTATTGGTGCTTCCCTATCAGAATATTCCACTTTGGATATGATGGGCAAACTTTGCAATCTTCTAAATTTCTTATTGAATTCCTCCATTATCGCATAAGCTACTAGTCTTTTGGGACAAAATATTGGCTTTACTTCTTTGTGAATGAACAAGTTTACCTACTTTGAGTGTGCATTTTTCAAGAGTGTCTTCGAATAACTTGGGAAAATTTGATTGGAATGAAAAGCTAGTTATATCTTTAATTAGATAATCAATTTTGTTATTATTGTAAATTGAATTGATTTGTCGATTCCTAATAAATTGAGATTCGTGATAGGTTTGACAAAACATATTCCTGTATATGACTTCCCTTCGAACGAAATTTTGCAAGTTATTTCTTCTGATTTTCTTATATCAACCCATGTATTCTCGGATATCAAGGTAATTAGATTAGTGAACATTCCCAGAAATCGTACTCTATTTTCCTCCGAGCGGCATTTCGTGCGACATTCGGCAACTTGACGTTTCTAGGGTATTTCGACCCCGCTGAATCCGAATTTGGATGATGCCAAGCCAAATTTTGCCTCCAAAGGCCTCAAATCCAAGATGGCGGCCAAACTACAGGCCTCTAAATGACATTTTTCTTAAAGTGTATCATTATTGACTGGCGTCCATAATTCCAGATGGCGTCCGTCGGGGGCCTAAATACAGAACTTTGAGAAGTTGGCATATTGTCAAGTGCGGCGTATCGGCACATATGTTTTTGACGTCGACTAGATCAAAAATTAGCACCAGAAATTGATTAGGCAACCGGAAGTAACGTAATCCAAGATGGCAACCGGTTGGAGCCCAAATACCAAACTTTAAAAAGTTGCTATAATATGAGGTGCTGGGTATGACCCAATGAAGTAGAAAGATGGTTTGGAATGTGCTTCGCGTCATTCAATTGATTCCGGGATGAGATAGCGCTAGTAAGGGCAAAAAATCTATTGGATCTTCCATATCTCTCACTCTAACCATAAGTGAGATAGCGCTAGTAAGGGCAGGAAAATCTCACCGATCTCTCCTGTTTCCTCACTCTAATGTTGGCCGCAAATATATGCATTGAGTAGATAGGCAAAGGGCTATCCCAACCTTCTTACTACTTCATTGATATGACCACAAGTGTTTTGGAGGTCGCTGAACACGAATTTGAAGTCGGAAAAGCGATAGGAAACGTGTTAACACAGGTTTGCCGAAATAATATAGTACAACTATACTTTGAGGGGTAAACAAAATGCACAAAACATTTCACATGAATACATCATCACTATCATTGTTGTTTTCGCAGTCTGCCTGAGACTTGCACAACTTGGTGCAGACCTCTTCCTCCCGCCTGCGCTCGCACAAGCCTGTGCCGCACCCCGACCTGCAGCCACAACTCAGTAACTGCGAGCAGGACTTGGGCACCGCTGGCAGGGTGGTGCAGGCTGGGATGTAATTCTCCTCCAGACGCCATCCGTACGGACTCGTAGTTGCAGAAGTTCAGGATAAATTTTTGTCAAATGGCGAGCAATTCATGGTACTTTTGTACAAGAGAAGAGAAAATACCTATGATGAAGCGAGACCCATTCTTTTTTGAAAAGTTTTAAGTCCTGAATTGTTCCCAGCTACGTCTGATGCAGCCCGTCTTCACATTATCTGAGCCACCTACCAAGCTGAAGTCTGGCTGAATGCACATATAGCAAGGCCAGACCTTCCGGATCCTAGCCGGTACAGTTGGCGTCTGGAGAAGAATTACATCCCAGGCTACACCACTCTGCCAGCGGTGCCTAAGTTCTGCACGCAGTTACTGAGTTGTGGCTGCAGGTCAGGGTGCGGCACAGGCTTGTGCGAGTGCAGGCGGGAGGAAGTGGTGTGCACAGGCTTGTGCTTCCTATCGCTTTTCCGTCCTCAAATTCGTGTTCAGCGACCTCCAAAACACTTGTGGTCATACCCAGCACGTCATATTATAGCAACTTTTTAAGGTTTGGTATTTGGGCCCCAACCGGTCGCCACCTTGATTATGGTACTTCCAGTTGCCTAATCGATTTCTGGTGCTAATTTTTGATCTAGTTGACAACAAAAACATATGTGCCTATGCCGCACTTGACAATATGCCAACTTCTGAAATTTCTGTATTTAGGCTCCCGACTGCCACCATCTTGACTTATGGTACTTCCGGTATCCGAATCGACTTCCAGTACTCATATTCATGTTCAGCGACCCCAAAAACATATAAAACGACATCTCGCCAGTCAATAACGATACACTTTAAGAAAAATGTCATTTAGGCCCGTAGTTTGGCCGCCATCTTGGATTTGAGACCCTCTGGAGGTAAAATTCGGCTTGGCAACATCCGGATTCGGATTCAGCGGGGTCGAAATACCCCAGAAACGTCAAGTTACCGAATGTCGCACGAAATGCCGCTCGGAGTAAAATTTTTGAAAATGTCCACCAGCCTAAATATTTGAGCCAGTATCTATTTGCGACTGATGCACTGAAGTGTTATTTGTACTTACGATCATGCAGTGAGTCAATGGCATTTACTGTATGAATCGTCGAAATATTTTTCATTTGAAATCTGCAAAATCCATCTCTGTATCCAAACCTATTGCATCTGGTACACCTATGTTTTTTAAATTGGCAAAACTGTGAAAAATTAAATTCTCAGGAGTTCCAGCATGGTTTTTTCGGAATCATATATATCTTGCTGACTCCTATTATTGTTTAACTAATGCTGACTTCTATGTAGAACGGCTTGAACTTGCAGTATGATATAACATTGATATTTTCATTCCACTTTGAATTGGAGCAATTTCCAATCAACAATATATATTGTTTTAATGAGATTAACTTTTGACATTTAAGTATCAAATCTTGATGAAGTGTTAAATTTTCAGGCTTTTTTGGTTTGCAATTTCTATCTGTTTCTATGACAGGCTGATATAAGTTGACAGTTGTTCTAAGTAGGACTGTCATTCAATAAACTATGCATCATCAACAAATCAACTCTGGATTTTTTTCCCCCCGCCAAGGTCCGGAATTGAATAATGTATAAAGCGCACAGATGGCACGGTAAAATATAATTGACAACCTTAGAGAAGCTTCCGGAGAGCCGCAAATGGGAAATTAGGCGAATAGAGCCGATAATTCGATATTACAATAGAGCGGCTCTTCGGGGAGTCGTTTAGTCCATTATTTATATAGAGTTTTATCGTCGATGTTATAGTGAGTACCAAGAATTTTGCCATTTGCTTGTCGATATTAAATTCTTTTAAGAATTTCAATGTTCAATTTTTGATTATTCCCGGCTCTTGAATTTAAACTTTAGTCTTTCTGGCTTCTGAACTCATTTTAATAAAGTTTCAACTTTGAAGCTAAATAATTTTGATACTTATAACAACTAATTCTGATTGATTCAATATGGTTTTATAGAGAATTTAATCCTCTTTCAGAAAATCTTAAATTCTAGTTAATTCGTTGAAAATTAACGAAGTTATGAGTAATTATTCACAGTATCAATTTTCCAGAGAATTGAGCGACTTGAAATTGCAATGGCTGCCCGACTTCAAGGTCATCAATTTATCGGTGGACCTTTGCAAACTATGCCTGGATATCGATTTTAAGCTGGGCGATTTGACGGTGGCCGGCAACTACGAAGCAAACAACGTAAGACTGCAACGAGTGCTTCCAGTGTCGAGTAACGGAAATCTCAGGTACTAATTATCAACATAACCTCAACTATTCTTAATACCTCTAACGCCATCTCTATTATAAATGCATTAACACTTTTTGATACCCAACCTACCCCTTGTTAGCTGAAAGTAACCGTTAATTTTGCCATTAGAATAATAATTATTGATGGATAAATGTAAGTTAAGAGCCAAATTTATAGTCGCTACTTGAAGTCTCCTCGGATCTTAAGAAAGCCTTGCCTTGGATGTTTAGAATTGAATTGATAGACTTCTCAAATAGTAACAAGAAGTGTCCATTCTAAACTAACGACCCTTAAGAATTTCGCTCTTAAAATTGTTGATATTAAAATTTTAATATTTCTCCGTCTGTCTTGATAGCTCCTAAATAAGCCCTTGAGACCTCGTCTCGTTTATACGTCGCTATTTCCTATGTTTAATTTAAAAAGGCCAAACTCAAACTCGACGTATTATTGTGCTCCCCTTTCTAATTTATTTACATTTTCCTTGGTATTTTCGGTAATAGAGCGTGTATATATGGGGTAAGTTACCATAAGCAAATTTGAATTTACAAGGTTCATGGCCTAATTCGCTACAAACTCGAATAATAATTAATTTTCAAGGCAAGTTTGGTGAACTTGTATCGTTATTAAGGACGATTTGGATTGATCCTGTCTTATCGGTTTTCTCAACTAAAACAAGGTAGTACTGATTTATCAGTAAATGAGGTAGCTTTCAACATAAATTGAAAATTTCAAACCGGAAATTGATATCCGGCAGAAACTTAATTATAGTCCTTTTCTGAGTGGTTTTGATCTAGGCCCGAAATCCACGTAGCTTTCTTCTTTGTCAGCGAGGTTAAAGGTCTGGCTATTTCCGAAAAATTCTGGATAAAGCGTCTATACCAGGAACACGTTTGCAGGAACGACAGTAGTTCTTTAACGTTTCGTGGAGGCGATATCTTGGAAATCGCAGTTATCTTTTCTACATTTGAAGAGATACCTTGAGGTCAAATACTTGCTGTAGATGCTTCACATGGGATTGGAACGATTCTGACAAAATAATCAAATCATCAAGATATGCAAGTATGTTCAGGAACGGAATCTGTTAATCAGCCTTTGGAACGTCGAGGGTGCATTTCGTAAGCCGAATGGCATTCGCATGTAACGAAACGTCCCAAAAGGACAGATGAAAGTGGTTTTGTCTCTAGCACTAGGCCTAACAGTTATCTGGTGATAACCGGATCTCAAATCTAAAGTTATCATGTACTGAATTTTCTTTGCTGCATTGAGGGTATCATCGATCCTAGGCAATGGGTATCTATTTGGGCCCGTTTTGGCATTTACCTTGCGGTAGTCCACTGTAGTAGTCCTCCATCCTTCTTCTGAATCAGCACCACAGGCGCAGCATAAGGAGATTCACACTCTTCAATAATTTCCTGTGCGAGCAACTCATCAATTTTTTTAAAAGTTCTAGCTTCTTGATTTCTGACATACGGTATGATTGAACAGCCACTGAAATATCGTCGATTAAATCAATAGAATGTTCAGCAAACAGTGTTGGTTCAGAACTTGGTTGGAACAAATCTGCATTGGAATGGAGTAGTTTGTTCAAAGTACTCTTATCTTCTAGGCACAAGTTCTTCCCTTCTTTGTCGGTTTTCTTGAGCAAAACAAGAATCCATAATTTAATCAGTGAACTGTGAATCATAACATAATCTCTTTTTCCAGTGTAAATTTCACAGATGTGGCGGTAAAAGGCAGAGTAGGCCTCCTAATCCAAGGCGACTCTTTTATGCCCGAAAACTACGACGTCAACTATGCTTGGGAAAAGACCGAAGTTTCCGTAAGTACAACAAATACCGCCGTCCATCTCAAGTCTAGCTTCATATTTTCCTTCTTAGGTAAGCTATTTTGTGGATAAAGAGACAAAAGTGGAAAACAAAATCACAATTGCAGAAGGCGGTAAGTTCTACTTTTATCCTCTCCTAAACCGATTTCGCTTAAAGATTTAAAGACACAGACGCGAAGTTATTTTTAATTTAAGAGTTCGCCGAAAAGGGAAAGTAATCTTAAATTGGTTGGAATTAACAGCGCGAGGGTGAAATAATGGAAACCATTTTCAGAGGTGACATTGTTTCAGAGCAAGTTATAGCCGAGGCGATTTGGCACCAACTCAGGGAAATTTTAACGACAATCCTAAAGGAACAACTCAAATGTGTCGTGGTTGAGTATTCGGTGCAGGAATCCTTAGCCGATGAAGATGAGAAATTAAGGTAGCAATTTTTATTAATAGTATGTATTTGAAATAAAATTTAAACTGTAGTTTGTAAGTGCAGTTTGCTGCAAATATGTACGAACAAGGTTTGTGAATTTCGAGGATTTGCCCACTCAATTTGCAACTTACAATTTCGGAAGTTATTCATAGTTCCTCTGGTCTTCCACAATTTCTCAGGCTACGATAGCCATTTCATAATTAGGAAAATTGGTAAAATAAGTAAAGTGATTTTGTTGTAATATTCATAATTGGTATTAAAATCAGTTGACAATGAACGGACTCATATAACTCCGGCCTTTGGGGCTCGTATAACCTCGGCCCTTCGGGCTCGTAACGTAATTACAACAACACTGGTCATTCAGGCTTGAGATTTGAAAAGAACATATGGCAATACTGCTTTTGATACAACAAATGTTAAAAAATTGACGTTTCAAAGTAGGCCTTGTTTTCTTTAAAACTCGATACAAAATGGGGTTTTTTTGTTGACCTGTGGGATCAAGATTGAAAACACGCTCGCCCTTCGGGCCCATTTCAATCTTTTAGCGTTACAGTGTTGCCAAAAGTTAAAAATTTCAATTAGCCTACAACATCATAACAATCGTTTCTTGATGTCAATTGCCACTTGTCAATGTTTTACATTTACAATTACAAATGCTCCAAAATTACTGTTAAAATGTGACAGTTGCTGTTGTAGGCCTCAATCTGAATCACAAGGCTGTCAATTGACAAAAAAAGTCATAACAATCGTAGGTGGTCCTGAAAATTAACTCGTCAATTGTCAAAAGTCATAATATTGTATGTAGGTTTGTCAGTTGTCAAAAAAAAATTGAATAATTATTTCAAGTGTTTGAACCGGGAACAATCGAAAATTTACTCTGATGATTGTTTGGCTCGACCAACTGATCATTTAAATTATTTCCTACTTTATTTCGCTCTTTGTCTTACTCATTTTTAATCGCTTTTGGTTTTTTACTATTGTATCCTACCTTATCTTCTTCTTTGTTTTACTCACTAAAATCTGGAAAAACATTATGTTTGAGATTGTAAATATGGCAACGTCGCTTTTGATCAAGTAGGTCTTGTAATGTAATGTCATTTGGCATTTTAGACAGTCGGCCATTTTCGAGTGTTTTTATCCAGTTTCTCCCCGAATTTTCCACTTTTCCAGGCCGATTTCAATCGGAAAAACTGTTAATTATATGCGAGCCCGAAGGGCCGGAATTATTCGCGAACCCGAAGGGCCGGAGTTATACGCGAGCCCGAAGGGCCGGAGTTATTTTAATCACGGGGCCCAGTTTATAATTCTATTGGTCAGCGGATAATTTGGAGCCAATCAAAAACCGGAAATATTCAAAATGCGATTTTTAGCGCCCAATCAAAGAGCCGGGAATATTCAAAAACAAGTTGACTTTGGAATGTTGGTTTTCTATTGGGTTTTCTTAAGATTTTTACTTTTTTTAGAAAACAGTGGTTTTTGCAAACATATACCACTTTATCGTTGTCTTTGTCTTACTTACTATAATCAACAGGTAAACCTTGTAATGTCATTTTCATTGAAATTAAACTAAAAACAAGTTTCCGATGCTTTATCTAGGGAATTTTAATTATTATAATCATTATTTAATAATTATTTAATGATTTTTAAACAAATAACTCATTTTAAATGTTATTTTTGTTTTCCGAGATGTAATGTGGCAATGTTGCTTTTGGTCGGCCATTTTGAAGTGACGGCTTGTGATTTTTTGCCAATTTCTCCTCGAATTTTCGACTTTTCTGGGAATTTTTAATGGAAAAAACCGATTTAACATACGAGACTTTGAGTTTTCTTCATTTTCTAGCAAAAATTTCCACTTTTAAATGCCATAATTAACAAAATTCCATTTAAAATGCTTTTGATGTGGCAACACCGCTTGTGGCTAATTTCAATCAAGGAGGCCTTGTAATAAATATCATTTGTCATTTTTGACATTCGGCTATTTTCATTTGACGTGTTTACATTTTTATTCAGTTTTTCCTCGAATTTTTCACTTTTCCGGGAGGTTTTCGATTGGGAAAATTGATTTAAAGTACGAGGCTTTGAGTTTTCTTCATTTTGTATCAAAAATTTTGATTTTTTTAACGGGGTAAGTAACAAAAACTTAAGTTTCATCAAGTAGGTTTTGGAATGTCAGTTTTCAATGGTTTTTCTTTGGATTTTCCACTTTTCCGATCAGGAAAACCGATTTAAATTACGAGGCTTTGAGTTTTCTTTATTTTCTACCGAAAACCTAAACCAACCACAAACTACGTTAACCAAAAACCTTAAAACGAGTGTTACATTGGTGACGCCATCTATTTACGAATCAAAAATTATTGTTATATCGAATTTGGAATAATTTAAAATACAAGTTAATTAGAACATCGATATTAGACTAAGTAGGCAGTAGGCTAAGACTCTTTGAGAATTTGGAAAAAATTGAAAAATTGAAAATTGTACCAAATATGCCAACGTCGTACCAGCGTACTTTTTCAAAACGAATGGTACCAAACCTGGTACAATTGTACCACCCCTGGCAACACTGATTGTTGTTCCTCTATAGACAATGCTCTATATGAATGGTGAAAAATTACTCTCAGATTTTACAAGCGGAGAACTATTGAGAATTCCGCTGGATTATTTATTGACACATGCAAAGTCCTTTGAACTTTTGGATGCATGGGGTAAGTTACCACTAACTTACAAAAATATCTTCCTACTTCAAATTAAATTGCCTTGCTTTATTCATTACAACCGACCAGAATGGAGAACTCACATTGATGGTGTGGTAAAAAAAGGTGAAAATAAATTGAAAAGTGAAATTTCCATTGCAATAAAAAAAAAACTATAGTTGATCGTGATCTTCAAATTCCCTTGAAAACTTTTCTAAAATGGTCCCTTTTTTCGGGCAGTTAAATTTGACGAACCATGCACCAAACACCCTGTATAAACGTGTTTATCTCTTTGTCCGAATAAGGCAGTATTTTCTAGATCAAATCCCCAAAATTTCAGATCAAAGGCGCCGCCGATCTAGAGATTTTCCCACGGTATCGAGAAACTTCCCAGGCTCAAGTGCCCCCAGAGCTGGGAGTAACGACAAAAAATAGTTACTTGACTTTATCGAATTACTGAAAGTAACGCGTTACTTGGTTACTTTTCAGATTGATTGATAAGTAACTGTAACGACGTTACTTTCCTGATGTAACTGCAGATCGTTATTTTGTTAAAGTAACGAGTTACTATGTAAGTAGCGCGTTACTATGAAAATAACGCGTTTATATGGAAGTAACACGTTACTAGTTACTATGAAAGCAACGCGTTCTTTCAATTTGTTTATCTTCTTTACAAATAATTGACGATTGAGGAAAAGGAAAATAAGTAATCTGAAAATTTTGTATGTCAAATAAAATGTGGGTAGTACAAAAAATTTGTTTTCAAAGCTCAAAATAATCGTTTGTGGGCGTGGCACGCGCCGCCTCTGCTCTAAAGACACTATATGTAGACAATGGGACGCTTCAAAAAGCAGCTTTGTCCAAAACCAAGTTCTCTATTTGGTCGCTTAATCCTTAATCCATTTGAATTTTGCAACAAAACTCTTCCACATAGTCGGACTCACAAACTAAAACCATATTGGCATTTCGTATAGGTCTTATTTGATTGTTTGGTCTGCTGTGTTGGTGAGTCAAATTAAGGAATAACGCAATTTTCGACGTAAATAGTTATTTTTGAAGTAACGCGTTACTTTAAAAGTAACGCTTTATTTAAAAGTAGCGCTTTATTTCAAACTTACGCGTTGAGGTAACGGGTTACTTTCAAATAACGAGTTACTTTTCAGTAACGAACTACTTCTAAAGTAGAGAAGTTACTTTCAAAGTAAAGAAGTTACAGTAACGCGTTACTTTCCAACAAGTAACGAAAATAAAGTTATCATTATTCGAAAGTAACTGTAAATTTTAAGTAACGAGTTATTTTTAAGCTAAAGTAACTGTAAAGTAACGCTTTACTTTTTTCAAGTAACGATCCCAGCTCTGAGTGCCCCCTTTACGTTTTCACAGCTATCAGAACAATATATACCCACCCCTACTACGTGAAAAAGGTTCTACTCTAAAAAGGCACCTCTTTCCATGTCCCTCCACTTTCTTGAAAAATAGAGAATATTTAAGCAATTCCTGCGTTTGTATTCGTCAATAGTGTTTCCAACTCCCATAAAAGGAACATCAACACTAAAAACACTCAAAAATGAATTGTTGTTCCTCTATAGACAATGTTCTAGCTCATATGAATGATGGAAAATTACTCTCAGATTTTACAAGCGGAGAACTATTGAGAATTCCGTTGGATTATTTATTGAAACATGCAAAGTTTTTCGAACTTTTGGATACATGGGGTAAATTACCATTAAGTTACAAAAATATTTTCCTTCTTCAAATTAAGTTGCCTTGCTTTATTCATCACAACCGACCAGAATGGAGAACTCACATGAAGAAAATCTTATTTGGTTCTCATTTATATCGAGTTACAGTACAATTTTCTTTATTATTTATAGAGAACTGGCTCGATATCATGCGGCCAAAGCTAACGGGTTGTTCGACGCGCTCCTTTGCGCAGCAAAAGACTATTTGGTCGTCAAAGACCAGAGGATGATTGAAACGCCGTCGTTCGAAACAATTTTCCGCGGAAAAGTGACCAGCACGGAAACCGGACTGTTCGAATCCGGTACCGGATACGTCAAGGTAGGGTGTTTTTGAAAAAAATGTACCTATCATTACAGAGTTTTCTTCTTCAAATTTACAAGAAATATAGTCCAAAGTGTTCTTTATTGACTGATATAAACTGCAATTTAATTTCGTACATTGGAACTTGAGTTATCAGGGTTTGTAGAGCTCCATTGGGATAAGATTCACTGAAATCCCTCTATATCAAATCTCTCTAAAAAAAATGCATTTATATTGTATAAATCATAATGCTAACTTAAAAGCCACAATATCGTTTCGTTTGCAGGATCTCTCGACGTTAAGCCGATTGTCGGATTTGAGTTTGTTTGAAGACGAACGTCAGCTGCTCGTTTACGGAACGCTGGGCTTGAGGGAATTTAAGGTCAGTATAAACTTGGCTATTAGCTGACTTGTAATAATTATTATCTTTATATATAGTAGAACTGATTAAATTTTCATTGTACTCTAAAAGTGTTAGGCATTAAATTGAATATCATAGAATACTTTTGCTCTATATATATATGGTTGATTTATTATGCCCACAAAGGAAGCCAGATGCTTTTTGACATGATTACATTGTTTCGTAAAGTGAAAATAATACCATACAATTTGTAACTTTTTACTGTAAAATATTCGACACAATTATTATTATTGTAAATTTTCCTTTTTGTCTCATTTTCGTCCCTTCTATAATCAAAATAAATGACAAGGGGCTTTCACACAAAAATACATTTTAGCTGAAAAAAACTCTTAAATTATAAAACGCTCAAAATTATCATCAAGATTTATTATGGTAAACTTTTATATTTTACTCTAAAAAAGTCGTAAATTTGTTTTCAAACCCCCGAGTAATCCAGATTTAAGGATTTACCCTGGCTGCATACATGGTAACGAGCTGCACGTGCTGATTTTATGCAATTTAGAGCTTTAAACTAACCGGGGTGACAAACTTACTTAAGAAATTTGCCCTCGAAAGGGTAGGTATCGACAATTTTCTCAAAATGGGTAAAATTTTAATTAACTAAACTACCAAGAAAATGGGAAGAGCAAGCAGGTGAAAACTAGTGGATGGATGTTTATAGTTGTTATTTTTTCCGGGAAATAAGTGCGTTTTTGAAGTATGGAAATCCGGGTGAAAAGTGCAAAGTTTCATCAAAAATCGCTCTTTCACACTTTATTGTTCAGAGGGAAATCTTTAAACTTTTCCAATGGGCAATAAACTCATAACGGCATTAATTACAAGGCTAACTTGTTTAATTGTGTACACGCGCTGTCGGCGCTTCTGATTAGCGGAAACTGAAACAAAATTCTTGCAACATTACTCCGATAAGTACTAATTTAGGACACTCGGGTGGAGGGGTAATTATGGAGATAATCTTAGGATATTTATGGTGGGATTATTAAACAGATTAGCGGGTTCTCGTCTATTTTCTACCATGGATTTGGCATCTGGTTATTTTCAAGTGCCCATACAACCAGAGTACCAGAGGACCAGGAAAAACAGCATTTTCAATTCCTGATAACCATAACCAATTTTTGAGGATAGCAATGGGTTTGAATAACGCACCGCGGCTACTTGGAGCCGTATGATGAATCACATCCTAGGAAAATTGACGTAAACCGAGTGTCTTGTACCTATATCTAGACGACATAATGGTATTTTCTAAAGACGTAGATTCGCATCTAGAACGATTGAGGCACATAATAGGTATGTATCATCTGCATATAAATATGGTTCTCCGCGCAGTGGCGGATACAGTGGGGGGCAACTACCGCTCCTTTTCTAAAATTTAATAAAATTAAAAAAAAAAAGAAAACAAAACCATATTTTAAGTTTTAAGAATATTCAGAAAGCTGGAAACCTATAAAAAAATTACACTTTTGTCTTTGTCCCAAGAACTTCAACTCAAACAGTATATCATTAGTGGTTGAGTTGATGTATTGTTTTTTTTTTTTGTTCTAATGAATGAATATTCATACAAAATCACCTTTATAGGTAGATGAAAGGTGTAAATACAGAAGTTGTACAGTATTGGCTAAATTTTTAAAATCTATGGTCAAAAACAAAAATTGAATGTCAGAAATGTGAAATATTGCATGCTTTCAGCTTTTTTTAAATGGGATGCGCTATATTTGGTTTTATATTCTTGAAGAACACAATTTCCCGATTCCAAAACTATATAGTTTGTCTATATTTGGTTGAGTCGTCTCCAACATATTTGGTTCTAAAAATTTTAAAAATACTATCAGAGAAACCAAGTACCTCAAATTTTACCTGTATACCTGTACAGGTAGAATAGTTCACAAATTCAGTGGTAGAATGGTGATAGTATTTTTACAATTTTTGGAGCCAAATATATGAGATATTGCTCAATCAAATATAGATCAAGGCATTGTGCTTTTCAAGAATATAGAACCAAATATAGGGCATCCCATTTGAAAAAAGCTGAAAGCATGCAAAATTTCACATTTCTGACATAATTAAATGAGTTCTTGGGCGGACAGCTACAGTATCAAGCTGAAATCACAATCTAACTCGTAGTAACCAAAACACTTGTAAACTTATGTAAAAGAATGCTCCAGAACATTTCAATACTTCAAAAGCATTAAAGAACCAAGTTGAAATTTTAGAACCACTCTTGGAACAGTCTGCCAAATTAGAACATCTACAAGGTGTATCAGGTTTGACTACAAAAATTTTAACACGCGTGAAAATATGGCCCATTTTGAACAAAAAAAGTTTATACAACATGGGGTCCAAACTCAACCATTTTTGAGGAGAAGGCCTTTGAAGTTTTGACATTTTTTAACGAATATTTTAAAGGTAAAGAAAATTTTATTAATTATGAGATGTAGAAAAATTTTGTTAATCCAATTATTAAGTAATTATGCATTTTTAGTCAACAAAAAATTGAAAAAAAATACATACAAATTTCACTTGTAAAAGGGTATCTAAACATCTGGCAACACAGCACAATAAAGACTAGGTGGTTGAAGGTTGAACCTTGATAGAGCTGAATAAATTGATTCTTGATTTTGTCTTGTCTAGTTGGGAAACGCGCGTTATTCAAATTCATTCTTTTTTGAAAAATAAAATGTTTAGAAACATCGAATATGCAGATTCTTGTTCAGGCAGAAACGTTGCAAAATGCTCATTCAGCCGCCAGAATTTACAAGGAAACTAGGGAAAGATTTCCCAAAAGAAAAGCTCCCACCTGATGAAAGAACATTGTCCCCGTTTGAAAAAGATTGCGTGACACAGGAAGTGCGTTTTGTGAGTGTGCAAAATCTGCGTGTTGATTTTAGTGTTTTGAGAACCTTTTAACAAAAATTAATATTTTCATAATAAGGATTTGACAAGTAGCTGAGTAAGTATTATTTGATTTATCTCTTGAATGTTTAGTGCAAAAATGTAATTGAGTGCAATTTACAATTTAATAATACGGCATATTTTTTTATTTTTACTTGAAAAGTGATAAATTCAAGTTATCATTTACATTATTTGAAAGCCAATAACAAACCAAAACGTAAACAGATGGAAATAAATAAACTCCGTGCAAAAAAAAAATCTTTTTGAATTTACCAGTTTTATTTACATTTATATCCTGGCAGAGATAATACCTATACAATGTTGTCACGTTGTTAACATTTTTCCTAATTTAAATTCTGCGATAATTCCGAAAATACTAACAATTGACCCATGGTTAATAAACTGTTTAAGCTTAAAATGGGCCATATTATCTCGTGTTAAAATATTTGTAGTCATACCTGATACACCCTGTATAATCATTTTTGATCGCTCTAGAACACTTTAGGAAAAATTTAGGACTTTGATAAGCTTCAGGAGACTTTCGAGTTACTTCAATTTGGAATTTTTTCTTTCTTTTCTTGTCCGAAAACCTTGAAAATGAAAATGCACCTTGTCACAGCTTATGCTTTCTTTGGAAAACTGCTGATGGGAGAATGTTCAAACTTACAGGGTGAAAAGAGACAAATTAGAAGCTAATTGACCTAAAGTTTCAATTCAATTCAGTGAAAACCAGTTACAAGAAAAATTCTTGAAAATTAACCTTTAAAAATTGAATAAAATGAGAATGTACCTGCTTATTGGAAAATGTTGAAGCTTACAGAGTGAAAAGAGGAAGATTAGGTGCTGATAAAGCTGAAACTTCAATTCAATCCAGTGGAAACCAGTAACAAGAAATATTCTTGAAAATAAACCTTTAAAAACTAAATAAAATGAAAATTAGAACCACTCTAGAGTACGCTGGTGCCAAATTAGAAGTATTAGAACATCTATAATTATTTTAGATCGCTCTAGAACACTTTAGAAAAAATTTAGGAGTTTGATAAGCTTCAGGAGACTTTCGAGTTACTTCAATTTGGAATTTTTTCTTTCTTTTCTTGTCCGAAAACCTTGAAAATGAAAATGCACCTTGTCACAGCTTATGCTTTCTTTAGAAAACTGCTGATGGGAGAATGTTCAAACTTACAGGGTGAAAAGAGATAAATTAGAAGCTAATTGATCTAAAATTTCAATTAAATTCAGTGGAAATTCTCGAAAATTAACCTTTAAAAATTGAATAAAATGAAAATGCACCTTATCACAGCTTAGGGTTTTTCTGGTAAACTGCTGATGGGATAATGTTGAAGCTAACAGAGTGAAAAGAGGAAGATTAGGTGCTGATATAGCTGAAATTTCAATTCAATCTAGTGGAAGCCAGTAACAAGATATATTCTTCAAAATAAACCTTTAAAAACTAAATATAATGAAAATTAGAACCACTTTTGGAACAATCTAGAGTACGCTGGGGCCAAATTAGAACATCTATAATCATTTTAGATTGCTCTAAAACACTTTTAAAAAAATTTAGGAGTTTGATAAGCTCCAGCAATCTTTCAAGTCACTCTAATTTTTCAATAACAATTTAGAAACCAAGTAGCTTTTCAAATTAAACCCTAGAATACTAACCCTCTAAAAATACACCTACGTAAAATTTACGTGTTCCATCTTTTCAGGTGTTTGTGTGTGAAATGTAAGTTTTACTAGGTATGTCTGCATATATTGTGTGAGTATGTTTTTAGTTGTGTACATACAGTCGTGAGCATAAAAAGTGGGACACCCGAGTGACAGGTTTTGTAATTTTTCGCTATTTTGGGTAAATCGGTCTTCTCTGTACAACGGATTTTTTGCCAAATATGACAATCCCTGTCATTGCCGTAGGTAATTCTGATGAGCTCGTTTTACAATAGGAAAAAACGGGTGTCCCACTTTTTATGCCCACGACATGTAAGAATGTTTAAGTAGAATTGAAAAAAAAAAAAACATCTCCTCTGAACTTTCATTTACACAGAATACAAAATAATAATTCCCGCCGCTAA